ACCCTCTGCAATGTTAGCATTTGCATATGATAGATTATAGGACCCCATAATCTTAATTATAACCCAGTAAAATAATTTTTTGAAAAGAATACTTAAGAAAACATTTGATTTTGATGGTGGTTATATTTTTCAAATTTCTGCATGCTATTTATTTTTCTAAAGTAATTTATAAAGCAGTTGCCTCTTTAAAAATTGTTTCCAATTGTTCACTTATTTCTTTTTTCCCAAATTACATCTCTCAGCAGTTTCATCAGATCCCAGCCTGGCAAGGGTTTTTATATCTCATAATGCCAAGACCAAAAGAACCAGGCACACTTCAGAGGAAGAATAAGTGTCCGGAGTGGACCCAAACAGCGAGATCTGCATCTTTCTTTCCTCCATTCCCCAAAAGATCTAAATTTAGTTTACTGGCTAGACTGCAATGACATTAACATGTTGCAAGAACAAAAATCAAGCAAAAGAGAGAAAAAGAAGCTCAGTATGGCATGAGGTATTTTAATACCATGGTAACTATGATGTCCTCTCTATTATTTCATTCACTTCCTCAGGTCAGGTTTTTCTTCCCTTTCTCTCCTGCACTTTTTGTTGTTGTAATCAAATCAGGTCACCCTGAATTCCTGAGTCCTCTTCACGGCAGGCAGGCATGTCTATTTGCAGTGGAATGTATTTTCTCCATTTCTTCCTTTGCTCCCAGACCTTTATTTGGTGCCCTTGATGTTCCAGGTTGCTCTTTGCTGAGCGCAAGCTATAAAGGCTTCCCTTCCATTCACACCTCCCCCACAGCCTGCTCCTTGCTGCTCCTCTCCCTGGCCCCTCCCTCCAGCCTCTGCAGTTGTCACAAACACAGTTAGCCACTTGACGTGTGACTCAGTGCTTCAGAATCCAAGGACCTTGGTTCTTCTGAAAGGCCACGCCTCTCTTCCTGGAGGAAGATAAAGGTCCCTCCCTTGTGCCTGGATCTCTGTGCCATTCAGTTGAAATGACTCTGGGACTTGAATATGGCATCTTCTCCTCCCCTTTTTCTGTGACTGTCCCTGGGACTCTCCGTGCTCTATTTAGCTTTTCTGCAGGAAGGGTGGACAGAGGTTTGCATTTTGAATGTTTGTAGCCCAACCTGCTCACTTCCAGATGGGAAAACTAAGGTCCAGAGTGCTTCTTTGACCAGTTGTATGGCGAATTCTTGGAGGAACCAAAACAAATAGGGTGTAGACTCAAGCAAACTGCCTAATATGGTGGGGAAAAAATCTTGTTAAGGTGTGAGCAGTGCCAAACTGAGCTTTGATGATTATTTTAGAGTTCCCTCACTCATTCTGTCCTTGTCTGCCTGCCAGCAGTGTAAACAAACAAAGCAGAACAGAGACACCAGCCACAGATCCTCAGGACACCTGGAGAAGCTCCTGCCTCCCAGGTGCATGAGACCCAGAAGACTGCTGGGCCCCTCCAGCCTCTATCAGAGGGTGCGATGAGGGGTTGGGGACAGCACACCAGTGAATTTCTCTTGAGTTCTACATCCATGAGGTTTTTCCCAATTTGTCAGTGTGCATATTAGTGAATTGACAATTATTTCCCCTAAATGTAGAGAGATGTATAAAATCCAAGTGGCCTATAAAAATGCATTTATTGCCCTGGCCAGTTTGGAGCGGTTAGAGCGTCGGCCTGTGGTCCAGAGAGACCCGGGTTCAGTTCCCTCTAAGGGCACGTACCTCGGTTGCAGTTTGTCCCCAGCCCTGATTGATCGTGTGGGTGGCAGCCACTCGATGTGTCCCTTTCACATCGATGTTTCTCTCTCTCTCTCTCTCTTCCTCTCTCTCCCTCCCACTCTGTCTGAACAAAAAATGAAAAAATGTCCTCGAGTGAGGATAACAAAAAAAGCATTTATTGCAAAAACCATTATATCATTCTTCTAAGTAAGCCCCAGCCTCCTCTGGGGAATGACACGGGTAGTAAAATGAATAAGACAACTCAGTATTTTGACTGTTTGCTGCAGTGGAAGAGGAACTTATGTTTCTATAGATGCCTGAAGCGAGGACTATATCCTTGGATCCAAAGAAGCAAACCACGGCAGCTTAGAAAAGCCACTCCTTGGTGTGATCATGGAAACAAGTCCCACTGGGTGGCCTGGCTGTGCAGTCCCAGTCCTCCCAGAGAGGCTGGTTCTGGTGCATTGACCTGCTGAGTGAGGAGCCGAGCCGTGCAGCAGCTGCAGCCGCCCACTGTGATTAAGAGCTTTATTGATTTTCTAGCCCATGACCACGTTGGTGGGGACAGAGCATGACAGAGGAGAATGGCGGGAAGCCAAGTGGAAAGGGTTTATGAAATGAGCTCTCAATGAAGAAAACTGGGGAAGAATGCGATGGAGGCAGATTTGGGACCAGTGGACATGGGAAAGTGGAACAGCTCAAAAAACACTCTTCTGACTTGAGCTAAAACAAAGCGCCTTGCCAACACACAGGCAGAGCCTCCTGTCTGAGCACGACTCAGAGCTGTTCATACGAAACAACATTCTCTGCAGCATCACCACTGATGGTGCTTAACCTTCATTCTGTACCAGGCACTGTGTTGGGTTCTGCGGCTTTAGTTAAGAATCAGCCCATCTAAAGAAAGGGATTGAAAACATACCCAAAATGATTGGTAAAAATGCAAATGTGTCCTAAGAGAGTCATAAACACAGTTTTTGGGCCCAGAGCCAGCAGGAATGGTGGCCAAAGGAGGGCAGGCCTGGGTCCTAGCTGCTGCCTCACGTGCAAGTCTGAGGAAGGCTCTCAGGGAGCTCTGAAGAATGCCCACCCCTTACAGGTCCGGAGGAGGCCTGCTTCAGGGCCGTGGGCCGTGTGCAGGGGGTATTCTCCAGGTAGCAGGTGGAAATGAAGCCCTTGAGTGTGGCTGTGCAGTGCAGGCTGGGAATCCTTATGGGACTAGCTAGCATCTTCCTCTGAACCCAAAGACAGGAGGACACTAGTGACATGATTCCTGCTCCACCCTCCCACCCCCCAGTGAACTTGTGTTTCTGGTTCACCTATGTGATTTGAGGGGAGAGTTCTTCCAACTACATTGCCCCTGCCTCAGTTCCTTTTTAGTAAAGGCATCAATTATTTCTGCTTGCTTTTAAGTGTTCAAAAAATGTCTTTCTTCCCCCTGAAAATAAACTGGAAATGGGAAGGAGATGAGTGTCTGGTGTGTTTTTGTATGTCAGTGTAATATATAAAGTAGGGAATGATATGTTTAAAAGGGGGAATAAGGAAAAAATGTCAATATAACTCAAAATCAGTGAATCACCAAGCTCAGTACATGATGACTTTTTAAAAAATCCAAAATGAAACCCTCTTTCTGTGGTTCCTATTTGAAGATGGTGCAACCTGACTGAGCAGCTCAGCCAGCTCCCACCTGAGCCATCGCTCCTCTGCCTGGCGCGGCAGGACTTGAAGGAGGCTCAGCTTAAGCCGGAAGAGTTCGGAGAGGTATAGACTACTAAACTAGGGGACCTCAGAGTGTTCTCACCTAGGCTCAGGCCAGAGGACCTCGACGTGGTCTAAGCTAAGCTGAAAGCGACCCCAGTGTAGCTGGAGCCTCTTATCCCCTGGGGAGGAATTCGGGAGGCAGGGGTGGTGAGAAGCACCATAACCCAAGTCTCCTAACTCCCGATCCAGGGCCCTTCCCTGTCTTTCTAAAACAGTCCAAAGGAGTTGAAATTCCTGGCAGTCTATGGAACAAATGTCCCTAACATTGTTCTTTTTCATAGAGGAAAACTGAATTTAAGGAGAAACTCAAAATACTCGATAAAAATACCTGGCATTTAAGTACAGAGCCAAAAAGCAAGACGTGGTCCCCCATGTGCAGAAAGTACTTTGAAGTCTTCAAAGGCTCCTTGGTTGTTCAGAACACAAAATGGAACAACTTTCATTGCTCTCGCCTGCCCCTCCCCTGTGCAGTAGCTGTTCTTGGCAGATGCCCAGAGCGGCACCCGGTAATTCCACGGTACACTGTGTACATTTACATCTATTTAACCAGCTATTTACAGCAGCCCTTTATGCCACCTGTAAGAGACAATGCCACAATGAAGCTAAGTGGCTGGGCCGGGAACCTGGTGCCCTGTGATTTTCTCCACTTGAAGAGCCCGAATCTGTGGAGTGGTTGGCACTTGGAGAACAGGGTGACAGCTGGGGACATCACCCGTCCAGGGAGGGAGGCGCAAGAACAAGGCGCGCCAGACAGAGGGTCCTTGCTCGTCGGCTCCTTTTCCACTACCGCCCAGCGAGGAGGAAACAGCGGGCCTTCCGTGCAGCCAGTTTCCTGCCTGATACAGTGATCAGCCGTTAGGACTCGCTGGATTTCTGAATCACAGAGACGCCTGGCGTCCCCAGGAGGGCGGGGACTGGGCGCGCTGGGGTGGGAGCCGCAGCCCCGCTGCATCGGGGCTGGATGTCACCCCCCGGAGTCTGGGAACCTGCTCTCTGATGTGATGCGGCGACACGGGAACACCTGCGCTCCAGTGCGTGCTGCACTCGTGCAGCTCCGGGTGGCAAACGGGGTGAAGTGGGGACGTGGGCGAGAGGAAGTCGAGGCGCCCGAGTGTTGGAAACGCTGCCTTAGCGTCCCCAGCTCTTTGGAGACTGTCGGGGGGCGGGGCTGGCAGACACAGCCCAGCAAACTTCCAAGTGTCCCCGCACTGCTGGGGGTCGGGAGTGCGGAGCCCCCCGAGGGCGGGTACCCGGCGGTCCCGAGTGTCCGCGAGACCCCCTCGACGCCCAGGACCATGTGGCGCGCTCGGAGCGCACAGAGACGCCGCGAGCCAAGGAGCAACCCCGATGGCCCGGGGGCTGGTTGGCCAGGGTGCAGAGGCTGCGCGGACCCGGAGCGCCTTTCGTTTTAAGAAGCCTTACTTCTGGGAAGGGACAGGGAACTGTCAATCAGCGAGGGAGGGAGCGCACCGGCGCCGGGTGATGTCAGCGGATCAGCTGCTCGCTAACAAAGAGGGGTTATTACAGGAGAAAGTTGCGGCGGCGGCGGCCACGGCGGCACCCCGGAGCCTCGGAGGCGAGGGGCAAGTGGGCGAAGGGGGGAGGGACGGCTGCGGCAGCAGCAGCTGAAGGCCAAGGAATCGAAAGGGCTGTAGGGGGAGGCAGTGCGAGCCAGCCCCGACTGCTCCTCCTCTTCCTCCTCCTCCTCCAAACTCGCAGGGTTCAGCCCCAGCGCTCGCCCAGCCGCCGGAGCACCCGGAGGGACGGGAGGCAGCCGCGCGGCCCGGAGCTGGGCAGGGTCCCCAGCCGCCATGGATAGCGACGACGAGATGGTGGAGGAGGCGGTGGAAGGTACAAGCATTTCTCTGGGGCCGGGGGAGGAGGCGCCGGGGCTCGGAACGCGGAAGGAGTGGCGGGTGACCCGCGCGGCGCCGGGCCCCACGGCCGCCACTGTCCCCTACGTGGGTGGCCCCCTGCCGGGCTCAGCCAGGGGCCGAACAACCGCCGCCACGCCGCCGGGAGCGCGCACTGCGCGGTGGGGCGCAGGCCGGGAGCCGGGTTCTGCCGGGCCGGGGCTCCCGGGAGAGCACGGCTGCTCCATCCCGCCGGCCACAGCCCGCATCCTACCCTTGGAGTTGCGAGCCCTGCTCCGCACCCCGGCCTTCCCCCTTTCGGGGATGGAAGGTGGGGGTGCGCGAGAGGACAGCCCTCCGGGACCCGCGGTCTCCGCGGAGCAATGCCCCCTCCCGGTTTGGCGACCCCGAGCCCCTCTCCAGCCGCCAGCCCTTTCCAGCCGCTCGCCGCTGCGAGCCGCGGGGATCGCGACCGCGTCCGGGTGGGTCCCCGGCGCCGCGCACGGGGCCGAACCTGGCACGTGGCAGCCGCGACCGGGCTGGTTGCTCTTCCGAAAAGATGAAATCATTGTAAGGCAAAGGACGACGCTCCCGACCCGAGGCTTGAACGCGCGCCGACCGGGAAGCGGGTGGCCCTCCCCTTACTGTCCCCGAGCGAACTCAGTCACACCGCCCCCTCCCCCTTCCTGCTTCCGAGCCGGGCTCCGCCGCCACGCGGTGCAGGCGCGCCGCAAGCCGGACCGCAATTGCTGGGTGACACTTAACTTTCTGAATTCCTCGCAGTTGGCTATGGGTGATATCACCGCCTTGGTGTCGTATTTCTCCGCCCCTTCTCTCCTTGCGCCCCTCCTCCGACTTTTCTCGCCACTTTGTTTTGCCGAGTTTCTCCACCTTTTTTTTTTTTTTGCTAGTTCTAAAAAGCGAGGTGGGGATGTTATACAGTCTCGTTGTTTGTGTCATGAGATGTTATGATTTTGTAACAGTGAATAGTGGAAAATACTCTTTGGCGTATCTGTTTATTTGGTTCTACCCAACCAGTGTGCCCCGATGTTTTGTAATGTGTGGTATTATTCCAGAATATATATGCTTATTTTTGAATAGTTTTAATTAATCCATATGCAATACACTTATTTGTCAAAACTTAGAACCCAGAATATTTAAAACTAAGCATCTAAGTACATAATTTTTTGTTTTGGGTTGAATTTGGTTTCTATTCCATTTGTATAAACAAGTTTTCATAAATAGTAAAGAAAAACAAAGTGGCAAAACCGTACAAAATGCATAAAGATACATAGTTATTGCTGCTCGGGGAGAAGAACTCTGTTTTTATGTTTTCATGAAACATAATTGACTCCTTTTGCAGTGCTCTGGAGGTCTTAGGATGAAATTAAGTAGAATAATATTTCTGAATTCTCTAAAAGGTATCGATTATAATGTAACTATTAAAACATATTTCTTTACCAGCTTCAAAGTGTGTCTGTTGCTGTTTCAATTTTGCAGCGTTGTGAACTCACAGATCCCTCTCTCTGATAAGTAAAGCCTATGTTGGTGCTTATTGAGGCCCAAAGACATTGAGTCCATCCATTGGAAGCCTTCTTACAATTGAAGTTGGCTTGTGCCCTTCTGTTATGAAAGATAAACTAAAAAATGCTCTTCTCAAATTGTCAGGGCTTGCTCTCATTCTTCAAAGTTTACTTTTACTTGCACTTTAAAATTTTAATGCAAACCCTTGATCATGGGCAGTGCTCCCCAGATCAAACTGCTTTCTCCTTTGAAGCTGTCTAGAAATGTAAGTCCATGGTCCCCAGGCTCTTTGCAGAGTTGTGAACAAGCAACTTTAGAAATATATCAATGTTGTCTTTGAGCTTGTCCAATTCGTAGAAACTGAGAAAGTTCTTCTTTTTTTTTTAATCCTCACCCGAGACATTTTTCCATCTTTTGTTCAGGTGGAGTGGGAGGGAGAGAGAGGAACAGAGAGAGACAGAAACATCGACGTGAAAGGGACACATCTAGTGGCTGCCACCCGCATGACCAACCAGGGCCAGGGACAAACGCAACCAAGGCACGTGCCCTTAGCCGGAACTGAACCCCGGTCTCTCTGGACCACAGGCTGACGTTCTAACCGCTGAGCCAAAACGGCCAGGGCAAACTGAGGAAGTTCTTTATATAAACAAGGAAAGTTCTGTTTTATAGGGTAACCATTTACATTACTGTCCAAAATCAGAATATGCTTGAGAATGGTAGGGGTCACTATTTACGCTGGTAAACAAAAACAAACTTATAGATATAGAGAACAGATTAGTGGTCGGGGGTGGGTGGCGGGTGAAAGGGGTGAAGGGGGTCAATTGTATGGTGATGGATAGTAATTAGACTTTTGGGGGGTGATCACTCTGTAGTGCGTACAGATGAATAATAATGTTGTACACCTGAAACTTTCATATGTATATACCTAGGCTGGGACAATTTAGGCTTCAGCCTTGAATGTTTGGAGATTACTCAGTTGTACCTAACAGTAAACAGAATAACATAGAAGTCCTTAGAGACAGCTGCGGGTCAGACTCACACAGCATCTAGAGAACTCGAGTGTACATGTAGAAAACGGCACCAGTGGGCTTTTCTCCAGCCATTCTTCGCCTTTTTAGTGCTGGCTGTAATAGTCTTCACGTAACATCTAGCACATGCAGGGGGACTGGTATAAAGCTAGTCTGAATATCTTGGTGTTCAAGTACCAACCAACTTACCTTTCTCCATAAACAAAGCTTCTGTGTTCAGTAGTTTCACTGTTCTTAGCTATAATTATAATTATATTAATTGTTATTGCTATAATTGTTTAGTTCTTATTCTGTGCAGGTTCTGTGCTGAATGTTTCACATACATTATCCATTCAGTTTTACGAGGCGGGTACTAATGTTAACCAGATTTTACAGAGGAGGAAACTGAGGCATAGAGAAGTTAAGAACGAATCTAAGTACACTCAGTGGGGTGGGAGACAGGCTTGGAATCTCTCTCCACTGTACCCAATTATCTCTCTATTTTTTTCTTATTTTTGACTTTTTTTTTTTCTTTTTGGTACGTGCCCCTAGCGGGAACTGAACCTGGGACTCTCTGTTCCGCAGGCTAATGCTCCAACCACCGAGCCAAACCGGCTGGGGCTTATTTTTGACTTTTGATGAGTCATCAAATATATACAATACTTGGGAACTGAGCTTGGAAGCAACAGTTAAATATTATGTCAGTATCACTATCAGTGGTAACTCTTTAGGGTTGGTTCTGATGGGGCTGAGTGACATTCAGGGGGAAAAATGTATCTGGGAAAAGAGAATTTAACTTACAGCCTTTGCAACAGACATCCTTTTTCTTCCTCCTAAGAAATGTATTCTGGGGAACAAATTGGTCTGTTCAGGACTTGAACTGTCTTTTGTCACATCATATACGTTTCGGTTCTCTGTCACAGTGGAACTGTGGCCCTGGTGAAGTTCTGCGCTCCGAGGGGTGAATCCCTGAGGGGAGCTGGGGGGCGAGGCTGTACCGCAGACTGGCTGTGCTCCTGCGGGCGGGCAGCCCTGGGCCTCTGAGGCCTGAGACCTCCCCCCGGGCGCCTGCTGTGGATTTTTAAAAACTCTCTGAGACTCTGGTTCAGTGGGAAGTGAGGTTGAGCTTTGGAAACAGAAATATTTATTATTACCCATATATCTATGTCTTGTCCACCCACAGATAAAAAGATGAATACAATGTGGTTCCTAATATACTCTCAAATAAATATATCCGAACAGATGAATTGCTGTGGCTGCGAGGAAGTAAAAGTTACTTGCAGCTCGGGCGAGGAGCTAGGGAAAGGGTTCCCAGAAGAGGTGGTGTGGAGTCGAGTCCAGCTGAGTGGGGACTTCGTTAGGAAAGACACAGAGGGGTGGAGTTATGCAGGCACATTCAGAGACGAGACACTGGTTCTGCTAAACACAGGGCCCAGGAGAGGAGTGGAGAGTAAGACAGAACACAGCAGCGGTGTCTCAGGCTAAGGACGTGGACTGTGCTGGAAGCCACGGGAGCCGTGGGGCTCTCTCGAGCTGGGAGTGCCAGGACCAGAGCCCCGCTCCGGGAATGAAAAGGCTCCTTGCAGTAGTCCCAGTGTGCACTGGTGAGGGCAGAAGAAACGGGAAGGCCTGGAAACATACAGCAGAAGAAAAGGGGAGAGCAGAATCCCCAGAACTAAGGAGCGGGGATGAAAACAAGCATCTCAGTGCTGCACTACCCCAGCCCCTCAAAATATCAAGAATATATTTAAAAAAAATTTTTTTTCCTTTATTGATTTCTGAGAAAGAGGAAGAGAGAGGGAGAGAGAGAGAGAAACATCAATGAGAGAGAACATCGATCAGCCGCCTCCTGCATGCCCCCACTAGGGGTTTGGCCCACAACCTGGGCATGTGCCCTGACCGGGAATCAAACTAGCGACCTCTTGGTGCATGGGTTGATGCTCAACCACTGAGTCACACTGGCTGGGCTCAAGAATATTTTTTTTTATTATTATTATTTTTTTATCCTCACCCGAGGACATTTTTCCATTTTTTGTTCAGATAGAGTGGAAGGGAGAGAGAGGAAGAGAGAGAGAGAGAAACATCGACGTGAAAAGGACACATCGAGTGGCTGCCACCCGCACGACCAACCAGGGCCGGGGATAAACTGCAACCGAGGTACGGGCCCTTAGCGGAAACCGAACCCGGGACTCTCTGGACCGCAGGTCGACGCTCTAACCGCTGAGCTAAACCGGCCAGGGCTCAAGGATATTTTTAACTGTTCCTCTGACATCCCATCCTACCTGTCTCTCATAAGCCTGCTCATGCTGTGTGCTTAAGAAAAATGTGGGCTCCATGTACCAGCCCTCTCCCTTAAAATTATGACCCTCACAACTAACAGTGGAGCTCTGGTCAAGAATTACTCTCAAAAATCAAATTATGTTTGTGACAACAGTGTACATACATCAGCATGAGGGCATGTTCTTTGCACTGAGCAGAATAAGCTTGCCTTGTATTTTATTTTATTTTTTGCACCAGCAGTTCTAGTCTACAAAACCACCAGTGCAGCATGTAAGAGTCTCTTGTTCTTAGGGAAACATACACACACACACACACACACACACACACACACACACACACACACACACACGCCATTCTCAGATCTCCTGTGAGCCTGAGGCAGGAAGCCGCCTGGTGTCTGATGCGGAGGGAGCCTGCCTTGCCCAGAGGTACCATCACTGCACAGAATACAGGCAGGCCTGGCTCTCATCAGGTTAAGGGGAAAGCTCAGAGGTATCTCGAAGGGAAACATTCCCCTTTCTATCCATTCAATAGAGAGTTGTCCTTAGAACAAAGTGCAAAAGTAGACTGTCAGATGGAGACATTTTTTCTTTCTCTAACTTCCATAAATATTTGAAATCATACTGCAGATAGACCGCACAGGACTGGGACAGCATTATCAACACGGAGCCGTCACTCCAGTGAATCTGCCTTGTTGTTCGGCCTGGTGTTCAGCCTGTTTAGTGGGAACTGGCCTGGAAGGCTGTTGGCTGACTTGGCGCATTTCACAAATTGACCTCGCCCAGAGCAAGGAGGGCTAGTGTTTCTCTGTGCATCAGGTGACACTGGAAGGGATAGGAATTTGCAACCAGTATATGCTGTTGCAGGTCCTGGTGGCTCTGTGAGAACTACCTTCTCTACAAAGGCTCTTCCGTTTCTGTATCTGGGGCCAGGACACACCTACCTGTTTTCGAGGTACCTGCTTCCACCAGCAGCAGGGGAGCAAGGGTCTTCTGTGAGTTCCCCTTAGGTGGGAAGGGGCTTCCAGCATGCTGTAGCACATTCAGAGCAGCGCTGTGCTCTCTTTGCAAGTCACCGGGCATTGGCTTCCCCATCTATACGACTGGCACTTGGAAGACTGTCGTGAGGTTCAGTTTAGATGACAGGACAGCACGCAACCCAAAGCCAGACACAGAGTAATGTACACAATCTTTTTCCTTCTCTGTGTATCAGTTTTCCTGTCCATTAGATTGACTGTCACTGACAAATATGACATGATCTACTGTCCAGGTGGCACTTGAACAAGACTTGTGCCAGAGGCTTCTTAGCATTGGCTTTGAAAAGTAGAGGTGAGGGCACAGCAACCGAGTCTCTTCTCCTCCCTACATTTCTTTCTTTAGAAAGTCTCTTCCTTGTTACTGTTTGAGTTGGGCTGCTGTTTTATATTCTAGGTTCTGCAACTAGGACTCCAGGCTGTTAAACATTCAGGGTGGAAGTCTTTTTTTGTTGTTATTAATCTTCACCTAAGGATATTTTTTCCATTGATTTTTTTTTTTTTTAGAGAGAGTGGAAGGGGAGGATAGACATCCATGTGAGAGAGACACATCGATTGGTTGTGTCCCACACACACCCTGACACTCTAACCACTGGGCAACACAGTCCAGGGCCAAGGTGGAAATCTTTTTTTTTTTTTTTATCCTCACCCGAGGACATTTTTCCATTTTTTGTTCAGATAGAGCAGGAGGGAGAGAGAGGAAGAGAGAGAGAGAGAGAAACATCAGTGTGTAGGGACACATCGAGTGGCTGCCACCCACACAACCAACCAGGGCCGGGGACAAACTGCAACCGAGGTACGTGCCCTTAGCGGGAACCAAACCCGGGTCTCTCTGTACCGCAGGCCGACGCTCCAACCGCTGAGCCAAACCGGCCAGGGCCAAGGTGGAAATCTTAAACGGCATCCAGCTCCTGTTCATTGATCCAATCTCCTTCTTTTGGAAAACAACAAACAGGCCAACAAGGGGTCCTGCAAGGGCCTGACAGAGGGAGAGTTCGGAACTTTCTCACAACAAGCAACCTAACACCTTTAAAATGGCCGGGAAGTGCCAGGTGTCCAAGCACCTCCTTCTAAATACACGAGGTCCCCAGAGAAACCACCTTCGTTCAGCAGCTCCTCTGCGTTCCTCTCTCCTAGAGACTAGGAAGGTGGTGGCACCCCTCTCCACTGACCTGTCGAGAGAGGTGTTGAAACCAGGAGCCCTCATGGAGTGAGGCTTATTTTTGCTTTCATTTCACTGGGATCTGTTGACCCTCAAGGGCTGTTAGTGTGTTATATGACACTGTCCATTTTCTCGAATAGCTAAACTCCATTGCTGACGGTGCGTCTGCGGTGTTGTATTCAGAAATAGGACAGGACTATTGTGACTGAGGGAAGCTGGAAATGAATCTACATTGGCTTCCCCCGCTCCCCTTAGTGTTCATGGTTATTATACCATTTCTCTTGATCTGAAGTAGAATAACATTTTATCAAACATTAACTTTTGAACATCTGAAATATGTGAACTGTTTTCTATGGGGAAAGCATTTTCAACAAATTAGTAAGTATTCCAATACAAAGCTAAACTGATTATTCTGATATTTATGCCTAAATCAGAAGTAAAGTGCTGAATTCATAGGTATGTGAATAGCTAAATTAAATTTGATCCCAACAACACTTTATAAAAGAAAGTGTTTAGCTATACACTGAGTGGTGTTATTTTTAATGAAAATAAAAAAGTAGATTTAATTTATTTTAATGAGAGAAATGTCATCAGTAGATATTTAGAAGATAATTGTCCACATTATTTCACATGACTCAAATGTCACTGAATTATGTCACATACAGTTGGGTTTTGAACAAGAAGAAAACGACTATGGCTTATTTCCCTCCTGACCATTAATTTTCTGGCTCTTGGTAGAAAAAAAAAAAATGTGTTGAGTGGAAATGTACTATATCAATTGTGATTTATTTAAGTAGCCATGTTTTATTTCCATCTATTCTAGGTAACTCATTCTATACAGAGTCAGATATAGAAATAAAACAGTATATTTGTTCGTTGTTATTTTATGCCTTCTTAAGAATACAATAAAAATCAAAGGCTTTTTGTTCTTTATAAGTGTTTACTTACCATCTCTTCCAAAGGATGATATTCTTTTATCACTTTAGAAGAAATCATTTTAGGAGACTAAAGTGTTCATTGTGGTGATAGGGTTTGTGTTTTCTTTTATGTCTGTGCCATCTGGAAGCCACACTTAAGTGTTTAATGTCCCTGCACTGCCCACAGTTTTTAATGCTTTTGTAACTTTTCATTCATGACCCAGGTCATTCGCCCACAAAAAAAGCCACTAGATTAACTACTGCCTCCATTTTCCCCCACCTCTACAAAATCAGCTCATCAGAGTGATTGGGGAGACACCAGGGAGGGGACTCCTGGGTTCTGTGAAATATGTAGATGATCATAAAACCCTAAACTTTGCCTGCAGATATAAGTGTTAGAATATACCAGTCTGTGACCCAGGCAGAAAAGCAATTTAAAGATCACAGTATCATAACTGCTGCAGATGTTCAAAATTACTGCTTAAATGGCCATGTGGCCAATTCTAGCTACATTTAAAGCACAAGCCCTTGAACACAGTGGTAGAGGGGATATGACAAGGTCATTACTAACATTCAAAGCTGGAAGATTTTGTAAAGTAAAGCAGTAAGTTCAAGGTTAAGCTGAAGTTCAAGCTCAGAAGGACTCTGAGTTCGTATGTTGGCACACGTGGTGTGTGACTGTTCCAGCAGGTTGAGATGCATGGCCATGTCCCTTGTTTGAATGGAACAAATAGCAGTGGGGTTTTCGGAAGTCCCCTGGCTAGCAGTCCTCCACACCATACTATATAATGACATATAAAATCATATTGTACACTAGTTCTAGAATTAGATGACTCATTGCAAGGACAGTGTACAAGGCGACAGACGATAAAATGGGGATCCTCGAGCACATTTCCATTAAGCATCAGTGGAGAAGTACCTGCTGGGAAGTACTTGGTAAACTGAGCAGCGCTGCAGATGCTGTTGTTGATGAGAACTCTCAGTCCCTGATAAAATGCAAGCTTATTTTCCGTTCATATCTGAAATGTGTCTAAGTCCCTCCATTATGGGCCCGTCCACTGATGGTCAGGTTTATACTGCGCATGCGGGCAAGGTGCAAAGGCTTTGCTCTCTGTCTCGCCCTGAGCAGGGAAGGGCCCCTTTGGCTGCTCCAGGGCGCGGTGACAGCTCCTGTGCTCCCACACATCGGTGGGGGACGTGGGAGATGTTAAGGTTTGCCTTGTGATTCCCTTTCTCCAGGGCACCTGGATGACGATGGATTGCCGCACGGGTTCTGCACGGTCACCTACTCCTCCACGGACAGATTTGAGGGGAACTTTGTTCACGGAGAGAAGAATGGACGCGGGAAATTCTTCTTCTTTGACGGCAGGTAGCACTCCCAGTTTTGTTTTATTTTGTTTGGGGGAGGGTACCAAATTACTTTATTTGAAGGAATGAGACAAATGAGAGAACTTAGGTAGCGTTTTGGTACAACTTATAGACAAGATCAAATGAGCCCAACACACATGCATGCACTGCTCTGGGGACCTAGAAGTCACCCCTGTGGTTATGGAGAAGCCAGCCTACGACTCTACTGTCATCATGGCCTCCTGGACATGCTTGGCAAAGGGATGCTCTGCAGTGCCAGGTTCGTGGGCCCCCCACTTTGCACTAGTTGCTTAGGTGGCCAGCCATTCTCTGATGGATTCCACCTGCTCACTGGGGTAAGGAGTCTCACGGAAGTCACACAGTGGGGTCGTTGTGTCAGGGGCCAGTGGCGCAGTTCCAGCAGTGACCGACACGCCTACTCCAAGTGCGCTGCACAGCCCATGCCGTCAGCCCCTCTGGTCTCTGGTCTCTTATTATCCTGAAGGAAGACCCAGCAGCTTCATCAGTTTCTCAGCATCTTTCCTCTTCTCATGGGATCGGTTAGGGAAATATTTAGCAAAGTTCTGCGAAGCCACGTCATCCCGGTCCAGGTAGACGTGGACGTAGACAGGAGGAGTGCGGCTCCCGCCCCGGTGCTGTAAATGCTCGTGTCGGGATACCCGGTCAGTACGCGCGGTGCTGGGTGCTGAGGTCACACCAGTACTTCCCGTGTCCTGCCCCCAGTTAAAGCATTCCACAGCAGTGGTTCGCTTTGCTTTGCTTTCACCTGTGTGAGGACGCTGAGGGGCAGCAGCTGCTACCCCCTTGTGGGGCTGCAGTGATGGTAGGACTTGCCTCTTTCCAGGCTGGACGGGGTTGCCGGGGCTCAGCTTTCCAATGCTGACCTTTAAACCTTGTCAGCTTTAGAAACAAAGGGTGCCCGTGGGCTTTCCCAAGCACTTGGAGGAATGAACGCCACAGAAGGGCCCAGACCACTTGGTTGGTGACACCGAAATGGGTTTAGCTAACTCATTCCAGGAGTCCATGGGGCACAGCCCGGTTCCCCAGCGCAACCCTGGGAATAACCTGAGCTTCCTAAACTGTGGCCTTCCTCTGGGAAAGGGCATGTCTAAGCGGACAGGGTGAGCACAGGGACTGGCTGTCAGCGATCTGATATGAGGAGGGGTGAGGAAAACAATAAACACCCATCATAGGCCCTGGCCGGTTTGGCTTAGCGGTTAGAGTGTCGGCCTGCGGTCCTGAGAGACCCGGGTTCGGTTCCCACTAAGGGCATGTATCTCGGTTGCAGTTTGTCCCCAGTCCTTGTTGGGTCGTGCGGGTGGCAGCCACTCGATGTGTCCCTTTCACATCGATGTTTTTCTCTCTCTTCCTTTCTTTCCCTCCCACTCTATCTGAACAAAAAAATCGAAAAATGTCCTCAGGTGAGGATTAAAAAAAAAACATCATAGAGCTTTTGTAAAATTTCATTTCAGTCATTCATTCCAACCTACTCTTTCCCATTGCCCCCAATTTCACACCCTGCCTTTTTGTTTTTAGCAGAGCTTTGCTTACAAACTTCACATTTGAAATGGTCAGCTACCTTGCTGCCTTTCTTTCGCCTGCTTGGAATACCCAGTGGGCTCCTGAGCCCCTCGGACGGCTCTGTCAGGATTTGATATCCGTGCTTCCTTCTCCCGGGATCCCTTCACCTGTCCGGAGAGCAACATTTCCTACTTCCTCCTTTTCTTATTCTCATAGCAGTGTGTTCACCCTCCCTTCCGGAAATACCTCATGCTGCAATTATGTTTTGATTCATTAAGCAAATGCAATGTATATAAATGTCTTGTTTCCCCTACAGACAGAGGTTTCCTTGGGGGCAGAATCTTGTCTGTTTCCTCTTCTGGGCTTCAAAGCACTTTCCCTTAACTTAATGCTTAAAAAAAATTCTTGCTGAATGACACGAGAGCTGGAAGCGAGTAGAATTCACCCAGAACACACGCACACGCTCATTCACGCTTCAAATGGAGCAGTTTGACGATCAGAGCAACTGATTGACTCTAGGAAAACAGTCCAGCAGTTTGGTTGGTTACTAGTGTTGTCACTAGATTGTTTCACAGACCTGACACACAGATCCGAGGGACCAGACGAGCTGCTAAACCAGGGTGTCAGGAGTGAGCTACACGTTAGCTCCAAAGTACTGGTCCCTCTGTCCTGGGGCGCCGAGTGGCGCCCGAGACTCCACCAGCACCTCCTTCCTCTCTCGGGCCAGTCACTTCTGGCTCCAAACAGCTTCATCCCGCCGCCCAGTGTGTTGTACAAATGCAGCGATTGGCACCTGCGTCGTGACAAGACCGAGCTGAAGCGCTAGGCCAATAACTAGCTATAAATTCACGACCTTTTTTTTTTTGAGACACCAGTTCATGACTTTTCATCCCTACCACTCAAACCCTGGTAAGACACTGAGCGCGTAGAGTAGACTCAAAGAATGACGGTGTTAGCAAGGACCTCGGGAGCTTATCTTTGTTAGCTTTCTTCACACAGATGGGGACGAATGCCGGGTGATGAAGCAGTGTGGTGACAGGTTCTCATCACCCTCTTTCTTAAACCCAATACCGATCCTGTTCAGTGACACTAAAAGCATTCACTGTGAAAGTTGGTGAGATGGTCTTAAGACTAGAAAAAGGCCATGGGATCTGTTGGGTCTTTCTAGGGAGAGCGCAGGAGTTGGGCACAAAGTCCGTTCCCACAGGAAGCAGCTCCTTTCTTTACATTTGTCTGTTAGTTTTCCTCCCAATTGCCACTCCTAATTTTTAGGGTCTGGTGTGTTAGGTAAAATAAGTTGGAAGCCCTGCACCTTTATTTACTGCCAGTCAGGAGGCTTTGGTCGGGGAAAAATTCCCTAACAGAGGCTGAAATCAAGATATTGAAATAGCAAGTGAGGAAACAAAGAGTTTCTATTAGAGTTTTAAAAAGTTGTCCAAACCTGTAGTGCCAGCTAATGTTCCCATCAAAGGGTTTGTTTGCAATCACAGGGACCTGTGTGTGCAAAATCACCAAGTGTAGACAGATTCAGATGGAAACATTGTATGTAATCTTACATAAAACCTGAACTCAGGTGTGTCATTTTTTAAAACCAGTGTATTGAGGTATGATTCACATGCAGAAAGCTGTGCGTATTTAATGTGTACACCTTGATGAGTCTGGAGTTAAACATAGGTCCATGAAACCATCATCATAATCTATGCCATTAACTGGGTGTGTGATTTATGAGGTTTTATATAAATGTGAATTTCTATCAAGAAACTTTCAGAATCAAATTTTCCCTTAATACAGATCATGATAAACCTAAATAAGGATTTTAAATACTCAGATCACCAGGAAAATGGCCTGTTACATCTTTTCACCAAGTTCCTAGACAAAAGCAGATTTTAGTTTATTTTTAAATTACATATGTGGCACATGCCTGGTAGGAAAAAAAAACTTCAAGAGACAGAAATACAAAAAATTAATATAGTCCTCCTTTATTAACCCTCACTCCCATGTCACAGAGGTCACCACTATTGGCAAAAAATTTAAGCGCCTTAAGTATATTCAAGGTAAAATAAGGAAATCACTACTTCTAAATCTCTAAAGGTTTCAAGAGTCAAAATTTACATTGTTTACCTTTTTACTGCTGTCTCAGCTTCAGACCGTTTGCTAGTTCTGAGACCTTAACGAACAGCTAGTCTTTCCTTCATTACATGACAAAACGCAGACCACAAGAGGTGTCATTACAACAGGCTGTGCAGTCGGAAACCTGGAGACAGACCGCGCATCCTTTCCAGATTATCCTGCAGATGCGAAGTGAATGTGAAGATGGACCTTCACTGGAAAATTGTCTTTTCAGGCAGCTATTGTTTTCCATTTTCCCCTCTTTTTAAAGGAAAGAAGAAAATTGTACTAAGATTAGGTTATTGGGACTTCTTAACATCTGCTCGGATCCTAGATAAAGATGTCTACACCTTGAGGAGGCAGGGAGCTCGGGCTTTGCTGGCCTGGCTCTGGGTGGGACCACAGTGGGGCGTTATGAGAATGTTTACTCTGCAAAATACTTTGATAGACACATTTCTAATTTTCATACTAATCCTCAATTCTGGGTGTTTATTATAATGTATTTTTTTTCTCATAATTGTTCTTATTTCATCTGAGATTATGGATGTCAAGACAATTTAGCAGGACTTCTCAAAATCCTAGAATGGTAACAAGGAAGGGGTAATTCAATGCTGATAGGCTTTGGCTTGTGTAATATTTGAGAATCTTGTGTTTTTTTAGCCTGATTATAAGGTAGAAATGAGTTATTTCATTTCGTTTTAGTTTTTTATGTTACTGTTGCTTCTCCTTACTTGCCAATTAGATTTCCAAGTATTATTTATTGCTCTGTGACTTCACTGTCCCATGCTTCTGTCATGTCCTAAAGTTGATTTGCTACATGAATGTGTCCAGCTAAGTGGGCTCCTTGGAGTTTATCATTGGCCAGGTAACCTGAGTGAGGCTGCCCATCTGATGAGCCACCGAGAAAGGTTCCAGGTGACAGGTCCATGCAGGATTTCTTGTGTTTGCTTTTGAGAAAGTGCTTGGTCACATTTCAGAGACATTGGAGTTGGGATGAACTTCTAAAGTCATGTATTCCAACCTCCCACACAAGGCACAAAAAAAGTCCTTCTCTGTTCCTGACAGTCATCCAACTTTTGTTGGCACCAGACTTGACAAACATATTCATCTGTATTCTAATAAACAGTTCTGATTAAGGCAAACATTTTTGTGACACACAAGAAGAAAGGGAGTGGAAAAGAATGGGTAACTTTGAATACCTGTCCCTTGTTCACCTGCCGTCATAACAGTGTGAAGTCGGTCTTATAATCCGATTTTACATATGAGGAAACCAAGGCACAGAGTGGTTAGCTAACTTGCCCAAGGTCCCTGTTCATAAGGGTTGGAGCCAAGATTCAAACCCAGTGAGTTCCAGTGCAGACACCCCTCTTCTCTTTACACCTACTACCCTCCTCCGGTCAGAAGCAAAGAAGTACCTCTGATCCCAACGGCCTTTCTCCCATGCTTACCTTTACTTGTGATCACTCAGCAGCTGTCATTAGGCGAGCCTCAAAGGAGTCCTGGGGTGAATTCAGCGACTCTCCTATAGGAGCTGGGACAACTTGGTAGCTTGGTGGAAGGTTTCCCTGAGGAACAACTCAGAGGAGCCCTGATCCAGCCAGGTGGCCTCTTCCTCATAAGATGTTACACCCACTGCCCTGAGTTGTGAAGACTGGAGAGAAGGCCTCTCAGGACCTTGTAGACTGGAGGGCACCTAGCAGACGCTCACAGGAAAACATGGATTTTTTCCTTCTATTACTGTGTATCTGCATTTCCCCCAGCTTGATGGAGATATCATTGACATAACATGTGTACGTTTAAGGCGTATAGTGCGATGATTTGATACACGCATGTGTTGAGAGATGGTTACAACAGGGTTAGTTTACACCTCCATCCCTTCACATAATTACCATTTCTGTGTGTGTGGTGATAACATTTAAGATCTATTCCCTTGACAAGTTTCAAGTATTTGATTCAGTCTTGTGATTTATAATCACCACGCTGTCCATTAGATCCCCGAACTTACCCACATCTGGAAGCGTGTACCCTTTGACCAACTGCCCCCCATTTCCCATCCTGCAGCCCCTGGCAACCACTGTTCTCTCTCTGTTTCTGTGAGTTGGGCATTTTTAGATTCCACATGTAAGTGAAGACATACAGTACTTGTCTTTCTTTGTCTGATTTGTTTCACGTAGCATAATGCTAAGATTATTATCATATTTTATCATTAGTGTTGTTACTATTATTAGTATTAGTTTATAACAATGACTAGCAGAGTTTTCTTACAGTTTTTTGAGAGCAAAACTAATTTCACGAAAATTCTCTCGAATATTTCACTATCATCTTGAGCCTTTATAAGAATCAGATCCTACAGGCGCACAGATCTTCTTTTTATTTGTTTTTTTATTTGTTTATTTATTTATTTTTTTATCCTCACTCGAGGACATTTTTTTGATATTTTGTTCAGATAGAGTGGGAGGGAGAGAGAGAGAAACATCGACGTGAAAGGGACACATTGAGTGGCTGCCACCCGACCAACCAGAGCCGGGGACAAACTGCAACTGAGGTACATGCCCTTAGCGGGAACCGAACCCAGGTCTCTCTGGACTTCAGGTCGACGCTCTAACCTCTGAGCCAAACTGGCCAGGGCCCAGATCTTCTTTTAAAGGGTAAAAAGCTTGGCACCGTCGACCACACGATGGGTTCACGGACGTATGTGGTGCCCCGGTCACCATGGAGGGAGCTGCAGTTTCTGGGCGAGGTGGTCCCGGCAGAGGGGTAGGGTTTGCGGGTTTCTTGTTGGCCTTCTTCTTTACTCAGCCTTCAGTATTTAAAGAGGTCATATATATTGTCGTACAAAATAATTCCTAAAACAATGTTTCTAAGAAGAATCGCAATTTAATTGGGTTATAGATGGGAATTCAAAGTAGAATTGTGATTCGCTTTAAATTTCCCTCTTGGTTCTTATATTGCTATACTGCCTGGGAAGGGAAGGAACCTCATGGGGGTAAAGAATAGAGTTTATGCTTCAGAAAAACCATCTAGACCCCAGAGCTATAAAGGAAAAGCCAAAGCTGTCAAGTGTCCTAAGACCACTTTTGTATATTCAGATATTAAAGAGAATTTTAAAATGAATGCAGTAATATTTGAATAAATACAAATGTGTCTGTCTAGGTAAAAGGGAATGTGACCCACAGATTTTTTTCCCTGTGTCCTCAGGGATTTTAAAAGTTTAGCCACAGCCCTGGCCAGTTTGGCTCAGCAGTTAGAGCGACAGCCTGCAGTCCAGAGAGACCCGGGTTCGGTTCCCGCTAAGGGCACGTGCCTCGGTTGCAGTTTGTCCCCGGCCCTGGTTGGGTTGTACGGGTGGCAGCCACTCGATGTGTCCCTTTCACGTCGATGTTTCTCTTTTCCTCTCTCTCCCTCCCACTCTATCTGAACAAAAAATGGAAAAATGTCCTCAGGTGAGGATTAAAAATAAATAAATAAAAGTTTAGCCACATATGTTTTATGGGAAGTAGCCAGGAAAACCCAGTTTGGAAGCTGAGCTACATAGCTGTGTGCCTGGAGCCAGTACGTGAACCAGCATGAGCAGAGGGTCCCACAGCAGGCGGCACCAAGCCGGCCCTGTACGGGGTGAGACAGCAAATGTCTTAGGCTTCTCAGGCCACATACAGTCTCTGTTGCAACTATTCAGCCAGAGAGGATCTGGGAAGGAATGTGCTTGGCTGTGTTCCAATAAAACTGTATTTACGAAAACAGGCAGCAGGCCGTGGCTTGCCAACCTCCTCTAGAGGAGGAAAGAGTTGGACAGAAAGGTTAGTGCCTTTAATACCAGGCTGAGAAGCTTTTATTTTATTTCCTGCACGATGGAGGATTTCAAAGCCGTATCTTCTTTATTGCTGTGGAGTCCCCAGCCTGGAAACATGCCCCCTTTGTCTTCAGATGCCGTCCGCGCCACCATAAATGTTCGCCGAGGAAGTGAAGCTGTTTCCTCAGGCAGGTGCTGAAAATAATGCAGTTTAGTTTTCCTCTCTGATGCCTCGGGAATTTGCATGTGGATATCTTATTATGTCAGCTGGGCTAAGAGGAAATAGCAGTTTATTATGATGGGTCTTATGATGCTAATAAGGATAGGCTTCATTGCAAGGGACAAGCTACTGGATATGGTTGGGGGGGGACTCTGTCTAGGTCCATATTATTATTTAACTGATTTGTGCCTTGTAGAGTGGATTGTAAACCTGGGAAATATTGGCAGACTGGTTAGGGGGTAATTCTACCCAACATGTAATTCAGTTTTGAATGCTGCTAAGAATCCAGTCGATCTGGTTGCCAGGGTTAGCCAATAAGAATCCAGGGCACCCAGTGAAAATGGCATTTCAGATAATCAACAAAACATATTTTAGTGTCACCACGCCCTATTCAATACTTGAGACACATGTATCCTAGCAATGTATTTGTTGTTTATCTAAAATTCAAAGGTAACTGGGTATCCAGTGTTTACTCCGGCAATTCTAAAAATGAAGACAGAGGATGAAATAGTTGTTTGCAATATTTATTGCATCATTATGTCAGTTAATTAGTTATCCTTCAGCAAGGTTTTTTTTTTTAATTGTGGGAGTCTAATGACAGTCAAATCTCATTAATTCCAACCTAGCCGATTTAGAATTTTGATGATTTATGCAAGGATTCTGCTAAAGTGCACTTTAAAATAAACCTATTTGTCATTCATAGTACAAACAAAACTGAAAGAGAACTATTTATCTCCTTGGGAGACTACAAATAGTGTAATTACAATGTAATCAGAGGCTATCGTTATTTGGACTGTACTTTTTGTTTAATAATTACAGATCATTCTGTCATTTATTAAAACAAGACAAGACTGCCAGGCACAGTCAGGTGCAGCCACCTCAGTCCCATGGCCCCTTTGCACCCCTCCTGTGACTGGTACACAGTCCCCTGGGCTCCCCAGAACCTCACACGATGCTTGCTACTTAGAAAGCACCTTATAAATGTTTGTTCATTGAATTAATGAATGAATGCTATCTGCACATGTTAAAACAATCAAACTGTCTTTGTTGCGAAACAGCTCACATTTTACATTCAAAAAAATAATTTGAGTTGGTCTTCCCCCCTTATTCCAAATTTCAGTCCATAAAGGGAGCTTCTGGTAGGCCATGAGAAGCTAACACTGAAAATGTTATTGAAATTCTGAAAGTGTTTTTTGAGGAGAGACAGAGAGGCACTTGTGAAATCACCATGAGCACCCTCTGAGCATTCTTCTGTTCCAGGGCCGTGGGTCTCACACGTTATCAGGCTGCTAATGGCGTTAGCAGGTTTAGCCTGCGGTTCTCCTCACTTGCCCCATTTTCCATGATCATGTATGTGCCCTCTCTCTCTCTCTCTCTCTTTAATAAATTTTGGTATATCTTCCAAAGAAATGGAAGGGGATTCTTTTGATTGGATACCAATTATGGCTGTCGCCAACAAATAATACATTAATGATTTAAAACAAATATGTAGACATTGACCCATTCTAAACCACACTTGTATCATTAGAGACCACTATATACGAGCCAACTGAAAGACCCTGAGTCTGCACTCTTGAGGGAAGTGAGGCCTGAGTGACTTGTGTGTGGAAAGGGCGACCCCAGGATCTCTGTCGCCAGGTGGTGGTCGACACCCAGTCTTGGAAACACACTCAGATGAGGCTTGTTCTGTTTCCACCTGTGGCTTCTTTCTGGTTTGGTTCCTCCAGCAGAGAAAAAGGGTTAAGAGAACCAGGAGATTAGGAATGACGTCTCCCTCTGTGTTCCTAACCCTCGGCAGTATTTTTCCTAGCAGTTTGCAGAATGCGGGAGGATGTGCTGAGTACAGGTCACTGGTTCTCGGATGTGATCCTTTCTTCTGGGAGAGTTGAGTCATGGCCTCATGATGCCTTTTGTTCTCCTTTCTCTCACAGCACCCTGGAGGGGTATTACGTGGATGATGCCCTGCAGGGCCAGGGAGTGTACACCTATGAGGACGGCGGAGTTCTCCAGGGCACCTACGTGGACGGAGAGCTCAATGGTCCGGCCCAGGAATACGACCCAGACAGGAGACTGATCTTCAAGGGACAGTATAAAGATAACATTCGGCATGGAGTGTGTTGGATATACTACCCAGTAAGCCTTGTGACTGCTCATTTTGCTGCAAAGTAGCGTGTTGTAAGGCAAAGCTTTGACTCTTCGCAGTAGAGTCAAATGTATTCTCTGCGTAAGAAAACGTGACGCTGTGACATTAGAGAGTCACCGTAGCTGAAGCCAGGGACTTAGGAGCTCTGTCTTCTCACTGGTGTTCACTCCTGATTGAGATTGTTTGCCCCTCTGTCTGCCATGAGCTCCTTTTCAGCATTGTTTTGGAAAAGAATGATTAATCATGATTAAAGCAAGTTGAGACAAATTGGTTGTGTTGTACCACTAATAAAGACAAAAATATATTATTTCTTAAAATACTTCTTTGCTATAGTATAGAAAGAGGTGGTGGAATATTTCATTGTTGCATTTAATTTTATTCGGTCGCTCATGTGTAAGAACTAATCCAGCAGTTCCCCATCTTTTTGGACTTACTACGCCGTAGGTACTTGATTTTATAACCCTACTCGCTACTTTATAGGGTGCTTTATAGTTTATATGGCTTAAATTAAGGTGATTAAAATTAACTTGCCTTTGAGTATTTGATAACATTTTATGATGTGGAGTTTACTACAGCAAAAAGATGTGGCAAAACCCCTGGTTGGGAATTAATGCTCTAATTGTTTGCATTTCAAATGTCCCATCTGTTGGTGAATTTCCAAAAATTGTTCAGAAAACCGGCCTTAGAAAATATCTCATCTAATATTTTATTTTGTCTAGAGCTTCGGTCAAAATACATTTTTCTTACTCCGAACCCTATCTTCCTATGATTAAAAAGTATTAATAAACACAAAGTATCTAAAAGAAAAAAAGTAGTCCCGGCCACATCTACTTACACATTATTGTTCTTTAAAAATACGTTATACTCTAGGAGTAGGGCATAAGAAAAGAACACGGTGAAACGTTTTTGTAAATAGTGACGAAAGGTTTTAGACCTGCTCTCGGCCGCTCCGCGTAGACCAGAAGCCCTTCAGCTCCCACCTAGAAGTAGCAGGAAGAGGGCAGTGGTGGGGGCAGGGGCGCAGACAGACCGACACCCTCCTGCTTCGTGAGTAGGCAGGTGAGCGCCTTGCTGCAGACCCACAGTGACTCTCGGAGTCAGGGAAGGTGGGCCTCCCTGGGAGAGCATGGGTGTGGGAAAGACACCAACTATGGATTAGCAGATTCTCCCCCTACCTGTCATTTTACTTGTGACTGAGATCAGTGAAAGCCCCTGGAGGAGATAGAAGATGCTCTGAGGAATGGGTCCACCTCACTCGCTGTGGCTGCATTGTAAAAGCTGTGTGCCTCTTGCCCTCCTTATCATCTTAAATGCCAAGAGAAGACTCTGCCGAGGAAGGACGCACTGGGGAATTGCAGGCTTTCCAAAGAACTTGGTTGATAACACTTGCTTTGTCCCCGGTGTCCACGGGCAGTGGAGGGGGCGAATCCCACGCCTCCGCTCTGGGACACAGGCGTAGGTGGCCGAGGTCGCAGTGTGGCTTTACCGTGGCCTGTGGAGATGTGGTGTGGGCTCTGCCTTCCCCTCCCAACTGAGCGCGTGGACCAGCTGCAGACAGCTGCTAGAAAGCTGTAGGTTTCCCCTGGGGGGAGCAGGGCCTGCGGGGAACTTCCCCAAGGGGAGGACAGGAGCGGAGAAGGGGCAGGTGGGCCTGCGGGCACTGCCAGCTCCAGGCCCCAGGAGAGGGTGAGCAAAAATGGGGCAGGACACATGGGGGCAGCAGCTAGATCCTGTTAACCCCTCACCCAACAGCGACACGGGTGCCAGAAGGTGTCCGAGAGGAGGAGCCGGGGAGCAGAGGAGGAAGGCAGCAGCTCCTTCCCCAACACTCCCTGACGCAGCACACAAGAAAGTTTTGGGGACACAGGGTCCAAGCAGGAGCAAGTGGGGAGAGGAATAATGATTCTCCCTGCAGTATTTATAAACTCACTCTAAATTCTTTCAAAAATTTACCTTGGAACAGTGATGCAAAGTTCTTACTTAAAAATGCATAACCCCTTTATGAAATAAAAGAAGAATTTCTGCTTTATCATTTCAGCCAAATAAATCCACTTGCCCCCAAAACCAGAAGCTTAAAGCATTTAAGAGAAAAAGGATGAGACCCTAGGAAGACAGAATAAATAGGAATGTTGGCTTATATTCATTTCTGCATGTAAGAAGCACAAATGTCCTCGTCAGCTCAGTAATCACTAAAAGCCTGAAGGCAGGTTTTGCATAAAGTATCATCCCCATTATGCTGGGTTGTTAAGAAGTAACTCGGGGAGGAGAAGAAGCAGTAATATATCCCCTAATGCACTTTCTATCCATGAAAAACGCTTCCAAGTATTTTTCTTTCTATGGAAGTGCTGTGATTCGTTTTTAAATTCATAACCTTTTTTCTCCAAAGAGCAATTCAGCTTCAGAGAACTGTCCACCATGTACCCGATGTTACTTACTCCTGCTGGCTCTCAGTAAAAGCAGCATTGGGGTCACTCAGAAGTCTCCCTGTATCACTGACTTTGGGTAGCTGCTCCCAGAACCTCTGAGAAGGGGAAATAGCCAAGCATTTAGAAGATGTCCTGGCATTACTGTCGTTATATCAAACCCACAAAGGTCTTAGATTTTCAAAGTTACACCAGAAGGACCTTCTGCATGGCCCAAAAAAACAAAAACACCAAAAAAAATTAAAAACCCAGAAACATCTCTTGCACTTTAAGATCAGATTATTTTTTGATTATTTATTCAATTACATTTTGGTATCCCGGTTCAATTCTAAAAGTAGTTATGGATCACCTACCGTGTCTCTAGCACTTAGCAGGATGTACAATTCTGACAGCCTCTGCCCTAAAGCATTTAATGACCCTTAAGAAGACAGTAAATGGCAGTTAAAGAGGGCGCACAGCTGGCTGTTCAGGGGAAGGAGGCCCCGGGGAGCAGTGACTGGAGAAGAGGGGGAGACACGAAGGGGAAGCCAGTGCAATTTCGTGGGTCTTTTTTCACTTTTTCTTCTAACTCCAAAAAAAGTAGTGGGATGGGATTCTCAGAAAGGCAGTGTCCAGAAGTCCTTTTGTTTATCTCTTAGAAAACTCAGCCCATTCTCTTTACTCGTGGACACTAGATTCATTCCTAACTATGTTTGAACTAAAAATTTTCTTAATTGACCAGAAATCCAAAACTCGACCTGGAGGAGTGAGACTGCGTGGACGGGCCGTGGGGAATACTCATCACGTTTGATGAGGGCCCAAAGAGCACTCAGCCCCATTTCCTTTCATTGTTTGTAGTTAATATTACAAATATGACGTATTTGTTTCGTAGACAACAAGCCAAGATCGAGTATCAGTAACTTGTCCGGGATCATGAAGTGTGATGCAGCCGCTGACGCTCTAACTCGGGCCGCGCCCGGCGCACATGACCTGTCATCGTCTGTTGTATGGGGCTGGGTGGCCAGATCTGGTTCTCACACACGTGAAGAGCTCTGAGTTCTCACACTGTGGGGTCCATATGCGTGCTGTTCGCAAGGGAGATGCGCGAGAGAAATGTCCTGCAACTGGTGTCCTATAGATCAATACTCTATGTGATTTCTCTGGATGTTGGTTTCTCCCACCAGGATGGAGGCAGCCTCGTAGGAGAAGTAAATGAAGACGGGGAGATGACTGGAGAGAAGATCGCCTACGTGTACCCCGATGAGAGGACGGCACTTTATGGGAAATTCATTGACGGAGAGATGATAGAAGGGAAGCTGGCTGCCCTGCTGTCCACTGAGGAAGGCCGGCCCCACTTTGAACTGATGCCTGGAGGTAAGTTGAATGGGCTCCAGGTAGGCTGCTTGAGTCCCAGAGCAGGTCCTTAGGGCTGATTTGAGAGGTGATCCGGTGTCTAGTCCACTTGAATGCTGTATTTCCAACCCAAGTGAAGTTATAAGGGGAGAGCAGAAAGGATAATGAATGTAGGCATCAATAGGCCTAAGTGATCTTTCGCTACCTAGGTTCTGAGGAGACTCTCCAAGGGAGGTTTCCAGAAATAGAAAATCTAGCATTTTGCATTTAGGTCCAACTTGGATTTTCTTAAATGTGTCATTTTTTGTTTTTAAGTTAAAAATTAAAGCCATCTAAATGCAGTCTGGGGTTCTGGACTGGATCTTGGAACAGAAAAAAAGGACATTGAAGGGAAAACTGGTCAAACCTGAATAAAGTCTGGAGTTTAGTTAATAGTAATGTGATTATGCTGTTTTTTTTTAAATTTTGACAAACGTACCATGTAAAAGCTAACATTAGGAGAAACAGTGAGGGGTATTGGGAACTCTCTGTACTATCTCTGCAACTTTTCTGCAAATTTAAAATCATTCCAAAATAAAAAATTTTAAAGTGAAACAGTAATCTTTGAACTTCAGATTCTAATATCTGTGTGTTTCACATATGTTCTGAAAGGAGACAGCGTCATAATGTTTAAAAATGAGGAGAACTGGGCCAGATGATCCCAATTGGTGATGCAGATGATAAAACTTCGGCATTTTTAGTAGCAAGGTCCTTGAACTTAAGAGTCACTTTAGCCCTGGCCGGTTCTGCTCAGTGGTTAGAGCGTCGGCCCTTGGACCAGAGAGACCCAGGTTCGGTTCCCACTAAGGGGATGTACCTCGGTTGCAGTTTGTCCCTGGCCCCATCCAATGTGTCTCTCTCACATCAATGTTTCTCCCTCTCTCCCTCCTGCTCTATCTGAAGATGAATGTAAAAATATCCTTGGGTGAGGATAAAAAGGAAAAAAAAAAGAGTTACTTTATTTGCAGAGAAGGTAAAGGGGTGAACAGTGTGGTGATGGAAGGAGACTAGACTTTGGATGATGAGTTGTATACCTGAAACGTACATGTTATTGACCAATATTACCCCAATAAATTTAATTTAAAATTTTATAAAAGAATAACTAATGACAATGGGGAACAGAGTCACCTAATCTGAGTCTTTTTTTTTTTTTATCCTCACCCGAGGACATGTTTGCATTTATTGTCAGATAGAGCGGGAGGGAGAGAGGAAGGAAGAGAGAGAGAGAAGGCCACATTGACTGGTTTCTACCCACACGACCCCAACTGGGGCTGGGGACAAACTACAACCGAAGTACATGCCCTTAGCGGAACTGAACCCAGGACTCTCTGGTCCACAGGCCGACGCTCTAACTGCTGAACCAAACCGGCCAGGGCCTAATCTGAGTCTTAACTCCAATGTTTACTGGATTATATTCTTTGACAGGTTATTTTCATGTATCTTTTCAGAACCCATTCCTTCATTATAAAACACAGATCTTGGCACCTATCATGAAACATCGTCACGAAAGTCCCTGTTAGTACATTCTTCTTGGTATTTTTTCTTCTTCTTCTTCCTGGTATTAATAAGAAACAGATTTTGGGAAGCGAGAGTGATCATTCTCAGGGGAATGATGGTTTTTCTTAGAACTCATGGTTGTGAATAACAAACACCTTCTTCAAAATAACTTAAGGCCAAAAAATAAAGAAGCAGCAGCAGCTGGGTGGGGTGTTGGCAAGGTTCTGGCGGGCCTCAGCCCTTCAAGAGGCCGTCGGACAGTCTGGTTCTCAGGACGGTCCGGACCTGGCGGCTTCGCACAGATCTCTGTCCTGCCACTTGTTCCTCCCTACGCCTCGGTCAGCTACGTTACTGAACTGCTGACTCATGGCCTGGTGGCTGGGGAAGGAGGAGGAAAACAATCTCTCACCTGAAATACTCCTGGCCTGCCTCCTCCCTGACCTTTCCCCCTGGTCATACCCCTGACCTCACCCCCTGACCTCACCCCCTGACCCCACCACCACACATTTCTCCTTACGCTTCTGTAACCAGACTGCTTCTGGGTTTCCACTTTCTTCTTGCTGATTTCCTCATTATGCCTCTGGCTGGAATTTTTTTTTTTTTCCCTTATCCTCACACGAGGACATTTTTGCATTTATCTTCAGATAGAGCGGGAGGGAGAGAAACATCAATGTGAGAGAGACACATGGATTGGCTGCCACCCGCACGACCCCAACCAAGGCCGGGGACAAACTGCAACTGAGGTACGTGCCATAAGTGGAAATCGAACCTGGGACTCTCTGGTCCACGGGCCAGCACTCAAACCGCTGAGCCAAATGGGCCAGGGTGATTTTTTTTTGCGAGAGAGAGGAAGTGAGAGGGGGGGAGAGAGAGAGAGAGAGAGAGAGACATCGATGAGAGAGAACATCAATTGGCCACCTCCTGCATGCCCCCCACTGGGGATCGGGCCCACAACCTGGGCATGTGCCCTGACCCAGAATCAAACCGGTGACCTCTTGGTGCAGGGGTCGATGCTCAACCACTGAGCCACACCAGCCGGACTGGAATTTCTTCTCTGCATCTCTTCCTCTCTGCACTTAGGAATCCCTGTCCCTGGCAAGATCCTGTTCCCGCTTTAAGACTTGGCTGACCTCTTCGAATTAATGTTTGTCAAGTGAATGAATGGCTTCTAGTCAGCAGACCTAGTGTAGACTATAGCGGGAAGGAGGAACAGTAAAGGATGCCTTCTGTCTGCCCGCAGCATTTGCCTGTCCGGGGGAGCAGAGGGCGGGACGACGAGCCCTGGAAAAGGTGGCATCAGCTCCGTGAACGCAGAAGAGATGTCACTCCTGTCTGTGTCCACACGGCCCCTAACACGGGGCCTTACGTGTGGTTGGCACTTCGTGAATTTGTGAGGAAAGTGTTAGTCTAAGGAGAGGAGATGGAAGTACATAAGAGGATTTCTGCACAGTAGAGCGTGTATTTCACAGAAAAGTAGTTTAAAGGTGATTTGTTGTTTTTTTCCTTTTTTGAACTAACGTCCTTTCGTGGAGTGTGTGCTGGCCCATCACCAGCACGCTCACAGATACCTGTGCCCTCTGACACCTGCCGTGGCCCTTCCCTGCCCTGCCTTTACTGCAGGGTCTGCCCCCTTCAGGCTGCACCTTCCCAGGCTCCCGTGCGTCTGGATCCTGTCTGGGTTTGGCCACAGGAGTCACTGGCTGGGGACACAAAAGAGAAGGGAGCAGAAAGAAGCCCCCTCTTCTATCAGTGTCTCCAGCAGTGGTCTGCCTCCTGATTCCATCTTCCACCAGGAAGGTCCCCGCGGTTCAAGCTTCCTTAGGCTACCCTAGCTCTAGAGAGCCAGGAACCCCAGCTCTGCAGCTACAGAAACCTCCGCTCGAGAGTTTCAGGAGCCCCAGCTTCCTGCTTTTGGCAGTTTTCTGGGCTCCGCACTGCCGTCTGGCTTCTCAGCTGTTCCATCCTCTGTGTGTAACCATTTCCCTGAATTCAATTCTCTCTCTTTGAAATACTCAAGTGGTCTGTTTGCTGGGTAGAGACTGACTGGCTGGATTGTTTTCTAACTTGTAGTTTGAGACAATGATTTGGGTTTGGATTGTATTAAACACACACACACACACACACACACACTCACACACACAGAGAAAGAGGACCTGGTAACAACTGGGAACCACTAAGGAATTGCTTAATGGGATTATTTGTGATGTCTTAATGCCTAAAATAATTGACTTTGCAGGAGTAAGCCCTCTAGTTCCAAAACTTGTTTCTTTACTCATTAGCCTTGGAGTATCGTGTGTCTTCCCTGTGGTCCGGGAGGATCCTCTGAGGCCAGTCCTTTGCAGAGAACCAATGTTAATTCTAGGACGGCTGTTAATTCTAGGACCGTCGTTCTGGAATAAATTACTAATTGGCTTCTGAGCCACTTTAATAGAAGTAGGATGACTTTGTAAATGCTTCGTCAAAAGCAGTTCTTGCTCTCCTTAATTCTGGTGACGCCAAATGCTTGTTTTTAGTGAAGGAGACGACCGTCAGGGGGTGGCTGGGTTCGACAGACTGTGTCTGGTCTGAAAAAAAAAGCACGAGAAAAATGTAAAACCATTATCCAGTCTGAGCTGACCAGAGATCTCAAAATTTCACAACAAATCATTTTCTTGATTAAAAAAATGTGTAATTACACAAGCATCTTTGAAACCTCTGAATAAAGAAATTTCAAAAGAAAAAATAACATTTTAAGAGACACCTGTGATGGATATTCATTAACACCTAAAACTAAAATTCAAGAGCTAGTCTACAAACTGTCCATTTAGCCCAGCTGGTGTGGCTCAGTGGATTGAGCGTCGTCCCGTGGACTGAGAGGTCCTGGTTCGATTCCTGGTCAGGGCATGTGCCTGGGTTGTGGGCTCCATCCCTAAGAGGAGGCAGCTGGGCAGTGTTTCTCACATCAGTATTTCTATCTCTTTCCTTTCCTCTCTCTCTGAAAAAAAAAAACACTTTTAAAAATAAAAATGAAAACTGCCCATTTATATTGAAGAATTTTATTCTATTTTGTTTTTTAATTCTTTTGTTATTTAACTCTTTTTTGTTATTTAACTCTTTCCAGTCCCATGGATAGAGAGAAATGTTGTTGATCCTTTCCCCCAACTTTGTACCTGGACTGAGATTTTTGTTTGCTTTTTAGGTTCGGTGTACCACTTTGATAAGTCGACTTCATCCTGCATTTCTACCGATGCTCTTTGCCCAGATCCGTATGAATCAGAGAGGTACGTTTTCCCTAGGGTTTTATTGGCACTGTTTGTGGGAGGGTGAATAGCCTAGCGGTGGGAACCCACAGTCCTCTGTGGTTCTCTGCTCAGGCCGAGTTTCTGACCAGAAAAAAATGTTCATATATTCTGCGGAAAGACATTGTTATTCTCATACAGTATCTTTCCGGTAAGAGTTTCTCCACCTGCGAAGCACAGAACAGCCCATGTCAGTCCTAGAATGAAACCTCTACAGAGAGGCAGTTGGGCCAGGCAGCCAGCAACGCCCTGCCCAGGTGTCCCCTTTTCACAGGCTCTGGTGTCACTTTGAGCTGCGGCCTCCTGCTGGCCTCCAGGAGGACGTGTCACACTCTCCAAAGCTCTAGCCTGGCCAGGGACCAGAGGGCCTTCTTCAGCTGAGAGGGTCTGGGACGCACCACAATGTATTGACTAAGGGCGAACAGGAGTGAATGGAGAAAACATGAAAACATTCTGACCTACAGATGACAAGTGTCTGATTCTATAAGCTCAATCCCAGAGGGTGAAGTCCTGCTACATGTCCTCTTCTCTGAACTCAGCTCCTGGTTCTTGGTGTGGCTTCTGGTGCCCTGCTTGGGTTTTTACGCCCCAGCAACTGCCTGTTGATGAGTAAGAGCGCCATCTGCAGGTGGCTTTCCCTTGGCCTCACTTTTTGTAATCCTAGTTTACAAAGCTGGCTCCATTCATTTCTATTCTGTTCCCATCTCGGAAATAGGCCTTTCCCCTGGTTTAACGGACACGGCTGACCCCACAGTGCCACATTGAATGAACAGCCTCTTTCTTGACACGAGGCTCTGGCCCCTTTACAAAGGGAAGGGTTTGGTCTCTTGTTTGCCCCGAAAACACAACAGTACATTACCGTATGTATCAGTGTCCTGTTACTATCACTGTGACGAATCTGCACGCTGATATCCTCCAAACTATCAGTGGTTTACAAATGCGAACCTTTTATTTAATGCCTGTGGATCTGTAGGTTGGCTGAGGTTCAGCCACTCTTGACTGGGCTCAACTCAGCTCAGCTGGACTAGGCTGGGCTCCAGGTTTCAAGTTGGGGCAGGCCCGTTTCCCTTGTCTGCAAGGCTCGGACTGAAGGAGCCACCGCCTCCTAGGCCGTCTTCTGGAGGGAGTGATGGACACTGGAGGAGGCTGGCAGAAAGTGGCCGTGCTCCCTCTCACCTGAGGCCTGGCCCGCACGCACCCGCCCACGCTCCCGTAGAAAGCAGATCACAGGCCAAGCCCAGCGTCAGGCAGGCGGAACATAACCTCTGCCAACTCTGAAGGAACACCACGACATCACGTGGCCAAGTGGCAGGAAGTAGAATTCGATCACGGGGGGGAGGAAAGAGTTGGAAGCAGTAATTCAGTTGTCTAGTCATAAAGGAAGTCCGAAAGATCCGTGTAACAAATTACGGATGACCGGTCATGACATCACAGAGCCCAAAGAACTGAAGTCGCTGATGGAGCACGTACTGTCTTGTTACATCCAGTTCACGAGCGCTATTTTCTCACTAAGCAGGTGGTTGAAAATTCTTTCTGTAAAGAGCCACATGGTAAATATTTTTAGGCTTTGAGGGGCTCTCTTGCAACTACTTGACTCTGCCTTTGTAACCCAAAAGCAAAGACAATACTAAACAAACAGGTGTGGCTGTGTTCCAATAAAACTTTATTTACAAAGATGGGCAGCAGCCAGCTTTGGCCCTCAGGCCATAGTTAGCTGACCCGTTATAAGCTGCTTTGTTGGGAAGTGCTTAGAGGATGGATTTTGTTAACTATTTGTCACTCTTTCATGTAAAACATTCATCTCGGGGCTTAATTAAAAGTCTTTTCCTCCTGTTTGGTGCTGACAAACTTGGGTATAGCTTTAATTAGCTTTGGAAAAGGTTTTATTTGTCCAGGAAGACAGTGAAAATTGACATTAACTTAAAACATTTTTAGAACCTTATATCAAGCACTGAGTTATGAATATAATAACCCTCTTATCGGAGAGCAAATTTTAACCACTCTGAAAAGAGATATAAGTACCAGTTCTTCAATTTCCAGTGCCAAAAGGTTGTGATTGAGCTTTCCTTCCTTCCTTCCTTCCTTCCTTCCTTCCTTCCTTCCTTCCTTCCTTCCTCCCTCCCTCCCTCCCTCCCTCCCTCCCTTCCTCCCTCATAGGATTAGTATGAACTGGCATTTTGGGTTCAGTAGCCATAATGATATTTTGGTGCTTGATGTAAGGAGTGCATCAAAGACATACCAAACTTGCCCTGGCCAGTTTGGCTCAGTGGTTAGAGTGTCGGCCCGCGGACCAGAGAGTCCTGGGTTCAGTTCCCGCTAGGGGCGTGTACTTTAGTTGCAGTTTGTCCCCAGCCCTGGTTGGGGTCATATGGGTGGCAGCCACTCGATGTGTCTCTCTCGCATCGATGTCTTTCTTCCTCTCTCCACCCCCCCTTCCCTCCTGCTCTATCTGAAGATAAATGCAAAAATGTCCTCGGGTGAGGATTAAAAAAAAACAGACGTACCAAACTTAAAGCATCATCGTTTGACTCTCTGTTCCGTAGGGTTTATGTTGCTGAGTCTCTCATTTCCAGCGCTGGAGAAGGGCTCTTTTCAAAGGTCGCAGTGGGACCTAATACAGTTATGTCTTTTTATAATGGAGTCCGCATTACACACCAAGAGGTGAGTGGGGTCGAAGTGGAAAATCAACTTGGCTGGTTAAAGGGCTTTGTTTCAAAGTCTTTTTACATTAGTCCTTTTCCTGTAGTATTCATTAGAAGTATAAAGGAGCAAACAGGCGTTTGTGTAAAGTTGATTGGATATTGTCTTATAGAAGTTTTCAGACTGCTGTAGCGAAAATAGCATAGGCCGGGTGGCTTATCAACAACATCCATTTATTTCTCCGCGTTCTGGAGGCTCTGAAGTCCCAGGTGTGAGCACATTCGGGTCTGGTGAGAGCCCACTGCCTGGCCCATAGCTGGCCCTCTTTCCTCCGAACCACATAGCAAGAGGGCTCCGCCTGCCCTCGTGACCTAGTTACCTCCTAATGTCATCACATTGGGGATCAGGTTTCAACATATGGATTCTGTGTGGACAACAAAAACTTTCAGATACAGCAGATATTTTTCTCCTTGTTTTGAGCCTTAAAATGATTTTTCAAGTTCCACAACTATGTTATAGAAAGTGGGATAGTGTCATCAAAGAGATAGTAATTTTTTTGTACTGGCCCATACCCAGTGTCTGAAAAACAGTTCCAACTGGACCCTGTCAGTATCTAATCTCTGATCTTGGTCAGGGTGCTTTGTAAGAAGACCCCCTACGTCTGCTTGTGCGACAGCCATACAATCGCCTACATCTAGCCAGGAAGGGTTCTATTGTCCCCCCAGAAATTAAAATTAAAAAGTTGAAGAGTTGAGCCCTGGCCGGTTTGGCTCAGCGGTTGGAGCGTCGGCCTGCGGTCCTGAGAGACCCGGGTTCGGTTCCCGCTAAGGGCGCGTACCTCGGTTGCAGTTTGTCCCCGGCCCTGGTCGGTTGTGTGGGTGGCAGCCACTCGATGTGTTCCTTTCACATCGATGTTTCTCTCTCTCTCTGTTCCTCTCTCTCCCTCCCACTCTACCTGAACAAAAAATGGAAAAATGTCCTCGGGTGAGGATAAAAAAAAAAAAAAAGTTGCAGAGTTGAGCCCTGGCCAGTTTGGCTCAGCGGTTAGAGTGTCGGCCCACGGACTAGAGAGTCCCGGGTTCGGTTCCCGCTAAGGGTACGTATCTCGGTTGCAGTTTGTCCCTGGCCCCACTTGGGGTCGTGTGGGTGGCAACCAGTCAATGTGTCTCTCTCATGTCAATGTTTCTCTCTCCCTCCCTCCCTCTCTCCTTTCTGCTCTATCTGAAGATAAATGCAAAAATGTCCTCGGGTGAGGATTAAAAAAAAAGTTGAAGAGTTGAATCACCTCTTGCCTCTAAGACACAGTCTTTGATATATTTCCCAGATTTCATATTGTTTGTTCTTATTTCTTCACTTCACAATTAACTTCCTTAAGTACCTGCCTAAAGGCAAAAGGTGTACTGCTTTTAGCACAGTTTATACTCTTCACCCTGGTCTGACTTGGATTAAGGGTATGGGACTTAAACTCATAGCGGGGTGAGGTGTCCCCCGAAAGTAGGCTCTAAGTGGCTAGAACTCTGCTCTGTTTGGGCTACTTAAGAAACACACAGATGCATGAAAATTTGAATTTGATGCTTGCGGGCTTTTAGGGTAACAGTTTTCAGCATGCAGTGAAAAAAAAAAAACCAAGGGACCTCTGGTTATATTTGTGTAAGGGACTTTTAATCTATTTTTTCATATAAGATCAGGAAAACATCAATCCATATTAAGTTGGGCTCCCCCGTGATGGCTACACGTGCCTTGTGCACCATCAACAGCAGAGGATGCTGTGGCTCGTTCCACATTTGTGGCTTTCAAATCATGACGTCTCAGGACAAATGAGCTAAGACCTCTGACACCCTCTGAGCTTTGGCGAGGAAGGTCCTCTCTCATGTGCACTTGCTTGGATTTTACAGGTTGACAGCAGGGACTGGGCCCTTAATGGGAACACCCTCTCCCTTGATGAAGAAACGGTCATCGACGTGCCTGAGCCCTACAACCACGTGTCCAAGTACTGTGCCTCCTTGGGACACAAGGCAAATCACTCCTTCACTCCAAACTGTATCTACGACATGTAAGTGTGACACCTCGCTGCTGGCAGTTCTTTGCCCCTGGAACCGGAGCCCTGGGCCAGGGGAGGCCATGTACAGGTTGCTGTCCAGCCCCAGAGGAGGCTGCTCCCTCAGAAGATGCCCGCGGGTCCCCTGCCCAGGGCCTCACAGTTCCGACTTGAAACGCAGACTCTAAACAGTGCCACTCTTTGGCCTGGGCAAGCTATGGAATGAAAAGTCCTTTGAAGAGTAGGAATGCTCTGGAAATACTATATTTATTGGTTGTTACAGTTTTGCTTTTTTAGTATATTTTCATTGATTTTTTTTTTTTAAGAGAGAGAGGAAGGGAGAGGGGGAGAGAGAGAAGCATCGATATGAGAGAGAAACATCTATCTGTTGCCTTCCATATGCACCGTGACCAGGGATCGAACCCATAACCTGCAGCCTTTCTGTGGATGGGACAACGCTCAGCCAACTGAGCCACGTTGGCCAGGGCAGTGGTTGCTATCTTATTGTGGCTTTTTTGCCCTTCACTTGTCTTATTCTGGAAAATGAAGGATAGTGTTATTTGAAATAATAGTAAAAAATTGAAATGACTCTGCATAATGGAGATTAGGGAATGCTTTCATGATGTGAAAGGAAAGAGAAAATAATCCTAAGTGCAGGGAATGTGGTCTCAGTGTTGTACAAGTCTTATACAATCATAGTTCCTATTATTTGTCAATAAGAGGAATGAGGTATTGCCCTGAATGGTTTGGATCAGCAGTTAGAGCGTCAGCCCTCAGACCAAATAGTCGTGAGTTCGATTCGGGTCAAGGGCAGGTACCTTGGTTGCAGTTCAGGCCCCGAACTTGGTCAGGGTTGTGTGCAATCAGTCGATGTCTCTCTCACACATGGATGTTTCTCTCTCTCTCTCCCTCCCTCTTTATCTGAAGATAAATGAAAAAATATGCTCCGGTGAGGATTTAAAAAAAAAGAGGAATGAAGTACTGATGAATATCACAGTAGCATGAGCCTTGAAAACATTATGCAGGAAGCCAGTCACAAAAGCACATTAATACGAATGTGCAAATTCATAGAGACAGAATGCAGATCAGTGGTTGCCTAGAGCTGGTGGGGAGTGGGGAGAAATGGTGTTGATGGCTACTGAGTATGGGAGTTTTTTTGAGGGTCAGGTTTTAAAATTTGATAGTGGTAATGGTTGTACCACTGAAAACTACTACATACTTGCATACTTAAAATGGATGAATTTTATGATATGTGAATTATATATCAATAAAGCCGTTATTTTTTTAAAAAATCAAAAAACCCTACCTTCCTCTCGGAAGTTTGAATCTCCTTTTTGAACTGCTCATTGAATATCTTTTTGGAAACCTCTGCGGATGGGGAGCTTACTATTATCCACAAAGGTGGCTGTCTGGACAAACAGATATTCTGAAATTACTTTTTGGGCTCTCTGAATGTTTTGTTTGTTTGTTTGTTTGTTTGATTTGAGAGGGGCGAAGACATTGATTTGTTGTTCCTCTTATTTATGCATTCTGGTTGATTTTTTTTTCTTTTTTAGAGAGAGTGGAAGGAAGGGAGAGAGAGAGGGAGACATCGATTTGTTCCACTTATTATGCATTCTGGTTGTTGTTGTTGTTGTTGTTGTTTTAGAGAGAGTGGAAGGGAGGGAGGGAGAGAGTGGGAGATGTCAATTTGTTGTTCCACTTATTATGCATTCTGGTTGTTGTTGTTTTTAGAGAGAGTGGAAAGGAAGGAGAGGGAGGAAAGGAAAAAGAGAGAGAAACATTGATGTGAAAGAGGCCAGGGGTGGGAATCAAACTTGCAACCCAGTTACATGCCCTTAACTGGGAATCAAACACACAACCTTTTGCTGCGCAGGCCAATGCTCTAACCACTGAGCAACACTGGCCAGGGCTCTTGTTTGTTTTTTTTTTAATTGAGCCCAAATGAGTTTCTCTGTAACATCCAGCCCTTGGCCCTAATTGTCTCCATTTCTTTCCGGTGCACTATGTCCATCTTTCTTCCACATGGTAGCCCTACAAATATTTTAGCACTGTTTATATTCCTTCTGAATGTTCCCGTCCCAAAGTGAAGTATCCCTGACTGTTCCTTAAAGGATACAGTTGGGATTCTTTGCACTGTGGTCTCTGGTCCTTAGCTTGCCAGCTCTTCCTGGGAGCTGGGGAGCCGCGGGCGGCCTCTCCTGCTCAGCCGTGGCTGCCGTCTCTCCATCCTCCCGCTTCGTAACGTGAGCGGGATCAGACCACGTGCACATAATCTACAGGAAAATTGCCAGGATCTGACTGTCCCTCCTCGCATCCCTGAGATGGCTTTAAAATTGCCCGGCAGTGACTTGCCCTCCTTGGCAGTCAGTACAAATACTGAAGCTACAACTTCGGTTTAAAGGGTGGGTAGAAATGGCAGTGGACGTGTGTCATGTGACATGAAACTGACACTCTTATGACCTCCAAGGCTTTCATGGCCAATGTGAAATTAGGCCAAAGCATCGTTCCAAGCTGCACACAGCTTCACAACAACCCTTTAAAGCAGTGGTAATAACGATGATAAATTCTACTTAGACTGCTGTTTTAAGACACATCAGTCTGTGATCTCACTGCAAGGACGATTTTTCTCACCAGAAGGCAGAGGGAGCAGGAGACAGGAGGGACCACTGGTACAAAGTCAAGTCCCTGGACTCTTCAGGGTGGTTGTTTTTCAAGACCAATGTGACCAATTAGTTTTGGGGGGCAATGGGAAGACTCCCTGAGAAAACAATGAAATATAAAAATCAGATACCAATTTATGGCATTCATTTGCTCTAAAATCATTGGCGTTGTAATGCACACTCAGCACAAATAAAACAACCTCCGAGGCTGTTTTAACCGCAGTCTGGCACAAAATGTCCAACACACAGTCAAGAACCACTTTCCTAGCGGTACACACCGGTAACGTGTCCAGAAGGGGCCCGGGGCGTTGTGCCCCTGACGTTTGCCACGCACTTACTCTGGGTGACCCGTGCTCAGCCTTCTCGGGCAGGGTGCACTCCGGCTCCCAGGAACCGCAGGCTTCTCCCGAAGTGATCGGGACCCCGTGTTTCAGTACCGCCTGGCGGAACCAACGCCTGAAGTTGAGTTCTTCTCAGTCTCTCCGTTTCCTACTCTCTGACAATAATGATAATAAGCAGGAAAATGAAAACACAAGAGGATTGTAAGAAAAGTCATAGGTTTCTCACAGGATTTTTTTTCAGTGTACCAGATTAACTAGAGTTCCATTTCAGGTGTATTATTTTTAAATGGGATATTTTAACTTGAGACAAAGAGTTGTGATTTTAATAAAGAATTCCTGAATCCCTGGTCCAGGGATCTGCTCTGTGAGGGAGCACAACCTGCTCACACACACATGTACACTGTCATGCATGCTCTCACACGTGCACACTCACGTGTACGCTCTCACACACGTGCATGCTCTCACACATGTGCACACTCACACATATGCTCTCACACACATGCATGCTCTCACACGTGCACGCTCTCAATGCATGCTCTCACACACATACACACAAACGTGCATGCTCTCACACACACATGCACACTGTCTCAATGCACACTCTCACACACATGCACACACACGGGCATGCTCTCACACACGTGCACCCTGTCTCACACATGTACACTCTTACACAGTGCACACTCTCACACACATGCATGCTCTCACACACGTGCACGCTGTCTCACACACGTGCACGCGCTCACACATACGTTCACACTCTTACCATAGTAACTAATATTAGCTGAGTCCTCACTCTGTGCCAGGCACTGTGTGAGGTGATTTATACACGTGACTGTTTTGTCACAACCACCGCTCTTGTCGGAGAAGGATTACTAATACTCTGATTTTGCAGCTGAAGAGAGTGAGACTCAGAGATAGGAGCTGAGCTGTCCAAGAGGAGGCATGATCATGTGTGGAACCAGGACTCACATTAAAGTCGTCTGACCCAACTCAAGTGTGCTTTTCAGGAAACATGACCCTTGAGTAGGTGAACATAGAGGACCCTCGAATGGGGTTGATATTGCTCCTTTGAACCCCACACACGAGATGACCCTGAGCCTCAGACACTCCTTTCCCACCCCGAGAGAGGGAACCAGCCAAGGACTTCATCATGCCCGTGTGCCCATCTAACTTCAGGCCCGGAAGCTTCTGCTTTGATGTCTCCATGCCCTTTGTTCAAAAAGTGACAACACACCCCTCAGACTTTTGACCAGATAAAACACAGCTCATTTCTTTTTGACTGTGCTTTGGATACAGCCATTGGGGGTTTCAGCAGCTGCTAGGGGAGCCCATCCCCTGTTTATCACCTGTCCTGAGGAGAGCTGGCGGCGAGCGGGCTGGGAACCTTGGCGAGGACTGTGACAGCTAGAGTCCTGCCTCTGCTTCTGAGGAGACTGAACAGGACGAGAGGCTGCCCCCTTCCAGGAGGCTCCCCGGGGAAACAGTCAGAGGGCTGGCAGAGAGGGCTACACTTCCCCCTTGGAGAGAAATCTCCATCCATGTTTTTGCTAGAAAAGAACAGGTCCCCTATCTGTACAGGGCAGAATGCAGAGTTTCTGCTTTTGTAAATCGACAGGGCTCTTTCTTACAACTCCCAGGTGCCCTGGTAAAGCCACCCTGCCCCTCCCCCAGGTGCAGCCTGGTAATCCGATGCCACGGGCCAGACGGGCTGAAATTCCGCTGCACTGGATTCGATTTCTCACTGAGGACAGACTTTTGTTGTTGACCGCGTTTGCTGGTTTATAAATACAGAGGGCCAAATATGCTAAAAAAGGAAGACAGAGCAGCGCTTGGGAAACTCCCCCGTGGTTGTGAATCTCCTGGGGGTGCCATTAAAATGCAGATTCCAGCCCCACGGGTCTGGGTGCAGCTGAGATTCCGGTTAGCACCTCCTGGGTGAAGCTGATGCTGGCTGCTCTGGGACCTACCCGTGGTATCAGGGAAGATCACGTGGGGGATTCCCCACCAGCCCCCGCACCCCAGGTTTGCTTCTAATCTGCCCGGGGAATGACTGTGCCCATCTTGATGTCTAGGTTTGTCCACCCCCGGTTTGGGCCCATCAAGTGCATCCGCACACTCCGAGCAGTGGAGGCCGACGAGGAGCTCACCGTGGCCTATGGCTATGACCACAGCCCCCCGGGGAAGAGTGGGCCTGAAGCCCCCGAGTGGTACCAGGTGGAGCTGAAGGCCTTCCAGGACGCCCAGCAGAAGTGAAGGGCCTGGCTCCGGGCCTCGGAGACCTGGAATAGAAACTTGGATCTATGCACTACGTTTGTCCGCCTGCGGGACAACCAGGGACTGCTCGTGCTGTGACATCACATCCTCTCACTCTGCGTGCGCAACAACTTTCTCGCATACTAACTAGGTTTGACTGTATTACTCATACCAGATTTAAAATTAGCTAGCCTTGCAGCAGCGTCCTACTGAGAGGTATTGTCGAGCACTTGACATAGGCAGCATGATGTTCTTGGGTGGTTCGAGTCTAAATCCGGACCACATTCAGAGATGCCAAATGATCAGACCGAAAAAGGGAAAGGGGGTTTTTCAGTCATTTTTAGTCAGTGGTTTTTCCATGATGTTTTTTCCTATGGCCAATGCAAAGTGTGTTGTTATCCACCTGCAAATGGCCCATAAGGAAGATAGAGAATTACTACATTTTTATTCTCTAAATGTAGTACAGTTGCCTTTTAACCTTTGATCTGTATCTTGCAGTAGAATGGCTTTGTTTTTTTCATAGTGGACAGAACCTCACTTTTTGAGTCAGTTCACCCCTCGATCCTGTTCTCTGTCTCAGACACCTTTCACAGGAGAGAACTTCCCAATGGGTTTTGTGTCCGTGCCAGTGTATAGGTCTCTCTGGCTCTTTCTATATCATTGTTTCATTATTATGTCCTAATATAAAGAACTGGCTCAGAGAGCCAGGCTATTATTATAGAATTATTATTCTCGCATGTAAACAAAGATATCTTTGCATTAATATGTGAGAAGGAAGCATTTACTTTGTTTGCATTAAGTTATGGAAGAGTTGTAATATATACTTTAAGAAAGAAGAGAGGGAAATTATCATTTCTAAGCAGTAACTGTGGCAATTTTACAATATCTTCAGTAGTGCTAGTAATTTTTTTCTCCGTGCATATACATTAAATGTACATAACACAGAGCAGTCTGGCTTGCAGCACAGTGCATTGAATTCAGAAGTCAAATAGCAAACTTGAATTCTAACACAGAATTCACAAGTTGCGTTTGTTTTTATCGCTACTGTTAAGAGAGACATACTGATCACTAGATACAAAATCAGACAACACTAAAACTCTTCATCCTTGTGATTTTAAAGCACTTACCTGCTTCAGAGCATTGTGAATTAAGAATAACACTTGTATAGTTTAAAAGCAACAATATCAATAGCATTTCAGCTTTTTTGCAAGCCATGTATAATCACAACTGCAGAAATAAGGAGAAAACCCCTGTTTTTAGTTTAGCTAATTAGGTATGCAACATAACTGGGATGGCGCTGGATAGATTCTGAGACTTTGGGGTTGCTCTCGCCACATGCAATGGCTGTGTCTGTAGATGCCTCGAGGAGGTAGCTGGGAGGTCCGGTGAGCAGGGGACTCAGACCTGCAGTTGTCAGTGGTGGCCCTGTCACCTGAGCCAGTTCGGTCCTGAAAGTTAAAGCCTTCTTGCTGTAGCTGGTAGAGAGCTCTGACTTGCTGGGAAGGGGACAAGAGTAGAGAAACTGGCAGGAGGAAGTTTGATCGTTCTTGTCAGTGACATATTGCTCTTAGGAAGAACTGAACAGAATGCTTGACTCGGCTCCTGACAACCTTTAGTCCAGGCAGCCCCTGGGCACAGCACCAGCTCGGGATGCTGACAGAGCTGCCCTTTCTTTGTTGGCCAGGCCAGGCTTGTGGGAGCCCCCCTCCTGGCAGGGCCAGGGTGGCGAGGTGGTGTGGCTTCAGGGAGCTGCGCCGATGATGATTCACATATGAGAGGTTGTCAGGGCTGCTGGAAAGATGTCCCACGAAGGACCGAAGAGAGTTTTTAGATGAAAAGGCACCAGGATAGGATCGCTCCTATTCTGCAGAAAGAGACCGTTCTGTGAACTGTGACAGATGGGCAGCCCTGGGACGTATTCTGATCGGTGCTTTCATTCAAATGGGTCCCAACGTGAGTGGCTGTGGGCAGGAGAGAGATGGCGTTAATGAACCCCCGTGGTTCGGGCTGGGAGTCGTTGGGGGCAGATGGCCGCCGTCCCCCTGCAGCCGCTGGGAGGTTCCTTCCCGAGGGCCGCGCTGCTCTGGCTGAGGCTGCAGCGAGGTGTAATTTCTGGGCGATGTGCTCCTCTAATGACCCCGTTCAGATGGAACTTGTCTTTTTTATGCTTTTTTTTTCCACAAAGGGATTAAAGAGTTGTAAGTAGTGATTACCCAATGAATCCATTACATATTGGATGATAATGCTCTGAGTTTAAAACGCAGCAGTGTGTCCTGACCTTCAGACATCAGGAAACAAACCCAAGCCGAACCTCTCTGTCTCTCTCCCTCCTGCCCATCGGTGTCTACTGGCCCATCCTTCCTTCTCCTGCCCTCTCCTTCCTCTTCCTCTGTCTGTGACAAGGCCTGGGGGGTACCGCCACCCCCAGCTGACCTTGTGCTCTCTTCCTCTCTCTCCTCCATGTTCTCAGCTCCTCCTTGCCGGCCTCTCTGCTCTGAGTGCCCTTCGGACCCTGTCTGTCTGTCTTTCCATCTGTGTGGACCTCTCTCCATCTACTCTGCGTCATGTCTAGCTCTGTCATTTCTGCTGTCCCCCTGCCACACACACACAGACACACACACGCAAACACGTACAGATACACACACACACACACTGATACACACACATACACACAGATACACACAGACACAGATACACACAGAGAAACACACACACAGATACACACACAGACACACACACAGATACACACATGCAAACACGTACAGATACACACACACACTGATACACACACACAGATACACACACAGACAGATACACACACAGATACACACACGCAAACACGTACAGATACACACACACACTGATACACACACAGATACACACACAGATACACACACACACAGATACACACACAGACACACACAGATACGTGCGCGCACGCGCACATACACACACTCTCCCAGTGTAAGGCTTTGTCACAGGTAGACTCAGGGGGCTGGAGGTTCCCTGTGTTCCGTCGGTGGGAAAGCAGTCAAGGGCGTTGACATTCCCTAAGGAAGTCCCCGGCGAGTACACAAGGGTTTTTCCTTGTCTGAGCCGAAGTCTGACGGGGAAGCTCCAGGATGTACTTTCTGCTGACTCCTTACATCCTCTGTGGAAGGAAACATGTCATCGTGACCAGGGAGATGTGGAAAATCCCACGTGGTGAGGAATAAAGAAATCACTTTTTGCTCACCCCAAGACCGGCTGTGCCTCTGGGTGCAGGACGCCAGGGTCTTGAGGAGATTCGCTCAGAGCGTCTCAGCCCACCCCCTGCATGGCCAGAACTTTCCTCAGCAGCTTTTCTGTGATGACATAGTATCTCGTGTTAGTCAGGAATAAACCAGTCCAGAGGAGCACGTCCTCAGACGGACATTGGGACAGAATAACAGGAACAACTGTGAGAGCCGAGTGTCCAACACAAAGGCAGGGTGAGGTCGCAGCGCAGCGGGCCAGGGAGGCGTGAGTTAGGACCTTTTCTTACTTTCCCTGCCTCATCCCTGCTCTCCCTGAGAAACCGAGAAGGAAATTCACTTTTCCAGGCCTCCCTGAACCCGCCTGTGGTTGTGGTTCAACTTCTTTGCCCTGTGGAGGTTCTTCACACCTGAAAAGCTGTTCCCTTACCACCAGCCATCCGAAAGGCCAAGGCGGAGGCCCAGTGGGACTGTTCACGACGGTAACTGTGACTGGTGACGTGCAGGATGTGTGAACAGTGACCTGGAAGGTTGCCTTCTCAGCGAGACAGGACGTGGCACTTCAGTAACTTTCCTTGAATATAGAATATTTTAAGTCACTCAACTGCAACATGCATTTAAGATCTTCCGAGAAGGTACAGTTCTCTGTTTTGCTTTGTTTTAAAACAGTTGCCTCAAGTTTCTGTCTTAAGAGTAGTGATTTAGAATCCAGACATCTTTCGTTTTAGAAAAACAAGCAAAGCTATGTTGCAAGGCTGACCATTGTGATGTTTATTTGCCACAGATCAAAGGTTCACAAAATATATTAAATCTGCATCTACTTGAGGTACCTTGATAGATTGGGTGTTTTTTTGTTTTTTTTTTCTTTGATCGTTCCCTTCAGGAATTGGAGCCTTGGTGTACCTTTTTTGGTTTAAAAATTCCAAATTTTAATAGTTTTATTTTGCCAAATGTGTGCATATTCAAAGCAATGAAACAATTTCAAGCCATACAACCACAGGGGTGGAACCCTTTTCACAAATTTTAATGTGTTTGTATGTAAATAGATGTTTGTATGAAATATTTTCATGGTAGAATGACTATATTTAAATGAAGTTGAATTATTCCAGTGCTGTTTAAAAAAAAATTACAAAATTTTTGGTGAGAATTATCTGAGTCTATTGAGATATAATGCAGATCAGTTTTGATTTTTAAAAATCAAAAGCCTACAAATAACTCTGACCCAAGGCAACTTCTTTGCGTTGTTGCATGTGACATGGCGAGAGCTTGTAGGCTTCCCCAGTGCCTCAGCCGCTTCCTGGTGTAAGTTAGGTGCTCATGGAGGTGTGTCCGCCCTTCAGTGACTCACTCCTGGCCTAGGGGCCTGTGAGTGAATTCAAGGCATTAGAGACAATGGTGCATTTATCCAGAGCACAATTTCTTTGCAGGGCAGCAGAATCAGAAGCCAGATGTGGCCACTTGAACCTCAGAACTGGGATTTGTGGCCACCACCAACCGCCACCCTTACTGCCTAGTCACACTTGTCAGGGAGGCTGCCCTCAGTGGAGTTGGGGTTCGACCCCAGGGTGGGACTTCACGGTTTTGCTAGCAGTCCCTGCCTCCTGACCTCCACCTCGCAGAGAGGAAGGAGGAGGCAGCAGCTGGCAAGGGGCCCGTTTCTCAGCACAGTACTTTCCTGTCTCAGCTCTGGGTGACTATGCACGTACGCACCAAACTTCCAACCAGAGAGAGACGTCCTCGGATAATGCCAATCCTTGCTTCCTGTCTGTGACTTCGATACCAAGACCAATCACTTCCCCAGGGCATACCTCCCAGCTCTCCTGACCCTACGTTACTAAAATACTCCTTTATAACGATTTTCAACTTGACTGGGGGTTTTCTGTTTTCCACTTTGGTCCTGGATATAATGAAATGATCAATTTTATGACAAATTTTCACTGTGTATACTAGCAATATGTACACACATGCCAATGTATCCTAACATTGACTTGGTTACATTTTGGGTTACTATAATTAATCTCGATTTATGTATTGGGAAATACAGGGACTACGTAATGCCTGCTTATCATAGAAGAAATTTGGTTCATGGTTCTGAGCTCCCTACTTCAAAAGTTTTTTCCTCCTGGGTTTTCTACATTCTCTTTTTATTCTGAAATGCATTTATGAGGTTGTGAGGTATGTTTACGGAATGGAAGCCAGGGGTACACTTTTAGCATTTACTGCAACCAAAAGTTAACCCCACCACAGTTAACGAGCATCTTTGACTGGTCTTCTGTGGAATTTGAACTAAATCTATGAGCCTTATTCAATATCTATAACTCTATGATTTTTTAAAATTATGGGAAATTAATGAAAGATGTTTACATGAATAATGTTTGCCCTTACTGTGTTATGAATGAGTTTTTTGTAGTGTGTCTGGGTGCATGTGCAAGAGAGTAGGAAAAATGTTTCTGAAACAAAACTTGACAAATATTTGTAATGAAAAGTAAATTTAAAGATTGCTATAATCGCGCTATAGAAACAATGCAAGTATTAAACAAAATATACAATCATCTGTCATTGTCTTCTTTTGGTCATCAAGGGCAAAAAGGGAATAATGTTTTCTCTTATGCACCATCCACCTATATATTTATTTCATTTTTTATCCTCGCCCAAGGACATTTTTCCATTTTTTGTTCAGATAGAGTGGGAGGAAGAGAGAGAGAGAGAAACATCGATGTGAAAGGGACACATTGAGTGGCTGCCACCTGCACGACCAACCAGGGCCGGGGACAGACTGCAACCGAGGTACGTGCCCTTAGCGGGAACCGAACCCGGGTCTCTCTGGACCGCCGGCCGACGCTCTAACCGCTGAGCCAAACCGGCCAGGGCCCACCTATACATTTAAATTACTAAGCCAACTTGACATTTTAAGTTGTGTGGAAACGTTATGAACCATTCCCATGTGAAAGCACCGCAGTGGGACCCGAGGAGGAGTTTGGTGTGTATGTGCCAGGACCACATACACCCATGAATCCAGCAAAATTAGCAAGATCAACCCAAAGTGTCTCTGATCGATGACATAAAAGCTAAGGGTATTGAAGATAAATGCGATGACCAGGGAAATGGCTGGCAGACGGGAACACCAAACCAAACCTGCCCTCTCTGGTCCCCCTTCTCTGCACCAGCGCCAACGGGCCACACCAGGCTACATGCGCACACTGTCGATTATTAATAAGGGAACCATCGAAGTGACCTCCCCCGCAGAAGACTGGCTTTGGGGACCTGCAGGCGTATCTTACTGGGTGCGCACAAAGCATTCTCTAAATATTTGATGTGAGAATGACCGAACTTAGAGTGTCCTTTTTTAAAAAAATTATGTTCTCCGTTTTGTTGGTTGCCAGATGGGAAGGGTCTTGAGGGAATGGGTGAAAAAGGTGAAGGGATTAAGAAGTACAAATTGGTTGTTAGACTGACAAACCTCAAAGGGAAGGGGGGTGAGGGGTGGGAAGAAACAAACCAAAGAACTTATATGCATATATGCATAACCAATGGACACAGACAGCAGTGTGGGGAAGGCAGGAGGGGGGCGGGAGCAGGGAGGAGGGCGTCAATAGAGGGAAAAGGAGGAACATCTGTAATACATTCAACAATAAAGATTAGTTTTTTTTAAAAAAGTTCCTTGAGCACTATTTAAAAAAAAAAATCATGTTCTTAGTTTGCTCATTCTTTCAACACGTATTTCTCAAGCTGGACCATCTTGTTCAAGGCCATTAACAAATCAGTGCACAAAACAAAGTCCCTGACTTGTGGAGCTCACATTTTCATGGGGACACTGGTCGTAAACCAGCCAGGGACCCATGCGTGTGCCAGGTAAGTGCTAAGGAACAAGGAAGGGGGGAGGGTATGTCGGGAGAGGGTTGCAGGGCTGAGACTGGAGAGACTTCTGAGAGGGGAGGGCCCAAACTGGGGGTCTGAGGAAAGGTTTCAGGCCCAGGAGGGGCTGCAAGGAGCCAACCCCGAGGTGGGAGCTGTGTGGAATGTCCAAGAATGGGGAGGCCAGGGAATCTAATTCTATAGGGCCACCAAAGCCATTTTAAGGACTTGGTTTTTAACTCAGAGTGTGATGGGAGGTCAACCAATGATGTAAAATACTAAACAAACCAGTTTTGTTCACCTTCCCGCACGCACAGCAGGTTCTAAGCACACTTCTGACATGTTCATCGTTACTACCCTCCCGGGGAGGGTTCTGGACAGAGGAGGGTGAGACCTGCCTCCCTTGGGTAACAGGGTCACTCTGGGTGTTAGCAGGTAGGTGGGCTGGAGTGGGGGTGGGGACCCAGGTGGAAACGGAGGACAACACGGTGATAGGTGGGATGAAAGGGGTGACGGTGATGAGAAGGGGTTGAATTGTGGATATACCATAAA